ATTATTAGATACCAGTTGTATTCTATCATTTCTTACTAATACTATAAATTCGAATGTTTACATGGATGGATGAATGTTTGTTTGAGGGTATCTCCGGAATCGTTTAGCGGATATTGATAAAATTTGGCACAGATGTAGAATTAATCTTAAAGAATACATAGGTTACTCATTTTTTTAATCCGCGCGGACGGAATCTCGGGCGACAGCTAGTTAAAGAATATAAAGAGAAAGAAATCATTCTGTGATTCAAAAAATTTACCAAATGTAGTAATTCATATTAAAGTGTAGGTCACGTACACGGTCTTCGTCTTAGATGTTAGCACTAATGAAAATTGTTAATAGTAATTTTAAGTGCTCATTAACCACAAGTTCTACGTCAGAGGAAAATGCATCGTTGAAATTGTTACGAAGACTACCAATCTGTATTAGTTTTAAATGGCAAAAACTATAAATAAAATTAGAATTTCCGTATAACGATACGATTTAACGAAATCCATACTATATTATTGCGTAGTTTATAACGATTTTTTTTAAATTATTTTTCTGTCTGTCCACAAGACTGTGTTTGTTCCGGGTTATCTTCAGAACAGCTGGACCGATTTTGACCGGACTCAGACTAGAAGGTAGCTGTTGCATGCATGTTAAAGGCTACTCTTTGAGTCTGCGCTGACGATGTCAGGGCGACTGCTAGTTTTATACATCTCTAAATATGTGATTTCGAATCTTAAAAAGATTTCAAAATATTTGTTATAAGGTCGGTAAAGGTTATTTTATTTATGAATCTTATTTCACTAATCGGTTTAAAGTAAATCCATAATACGAGCTCTACTCGCGACTCTATAATGCGAAATTGTATCGCATGAGCTACAGATAACGGCTTATGTTATGCTAGTTTCACACTAGGGTAGAACAGAAAGCGCTAATCTTCCTTATATTATAAATGCGAATATTTTGATGGATGTTTGTTTGGAAGTATCCCCGGTAAAACATACTCTGGAAGAACACATTAATTATGTTTTTTAAAGGTTGTTTATGGTTTCATTTTTTATATCAAACGTATTGTTTCCTACAGAAACATTAATTAAAACGTAACCCGTTATTGTAGCTTTGTCTTTTTTTATTACCTCAATTTGGCGATCCCCTAACAAATTAGGGCCGTCTGTATTCGTCTAAAGCCGTGTGAGAGTAAAGTTAATGACACGTGTGTTACGCGGCTGAAAAATATGTTTACATTTTATTTTTAGCGGTCGAGTTTTTTGGACCATGACAGAGTTTTATTTTTGTTTTTATTTTATTTTTAATTAACAGTTATTTAACGTATTAACATTTGAAAGGATGATGTTTTAATTATGTAAAAAAATCTTAAGAATCTGTTTTTTTTTTTTCGACAACGACAAACTCATTGTTTTCTCTCACTTATTACTCTATTTTCTTTATTATAATATTGATTGTTAGGTATTCAAAGATGTGTGTGAAATCAACCAACGCGCATTAGGCCAGCGTGGTTGACTATGGCTTTGTCACCCTTAACTAAGGGTAGGCCCTGAGCCCTTCAGTGGGGACTTACAGTGGGCTGTGATGATGCTATTAAGTTAAATTAATAATTATACAATTCGTTTTGTTTTAGTTTTTAATGAATGTAAGATATATAACACATTTCCTTTTCCTTTAGTTCAACTTTGAGTTGTATCTCATTTTTCTTTTTTTTTTCGCAAGATTCACGCTGAAACTAAGCCCGTGAGAATAAAGTTAATGGCACGTATCTGGTGTATTGCCGGAGTATAAAAAGTTAGTAGCTGTAATATACATTCCTAGTCATATTTCTTTCGGAAACTTAAGTTTTTTTTTAACATCTGCCTTTATATATATTTATTTTATTTACAATATGCTCGTTAATATATTAAAAATAATGCTATTCAGAATCCTTCAAAAGTTAACTTTTATTTCGAAGAAATTGACAATATGTAATATTTGATTTCTAATCTATAATATCGTCTACTAGCTGTCGCCTGTGACTCCGACCGCGCGGAATTAAAAAACAAAATTAGTAGTCTACGTGTTCTTCCAGACTGTTTTATATGTATGTCAAATTTCATCAAGATCCGTTCAAGTTCTAGAGATACCTTCAAACAATCCATCCATCTAAACATTCGCGTTTATATAATATTATATACAGTAAGATAACAAAATATTGTAATTTTAAGGTTTTATTGAACTTGAAGACCTCTAATAGTGTATTGGGTAAATCACAAACGTTTGGAAAAAACGTATCACCATATTTTTTTTCCCCCCAATTTTGACTAAAACCTAGATACAAATTCAAGTGGAATTTCTATCTAAATGAATGCTTGTAATTGCAAGAACAAAATTAGATTTCACCTGACACTTGGCACCCGAGAGACTTTATCGTTTGGCTCCATTCCCGTGTTCCCGCAGGTGAGGCCTTACATAACCTACAAGAGACACGATTTGTGAAATATTTTAACACGGAGCCGAAAAAAGGATTATTCACATTTCGAATGAAGTGTACACGTGTATTTATCTATCTATATATACAAAAGAAAGTCGTGCTAGTTACACTATTTATAACTCAAGAACGGCTTTACCGATATGGCTGAAAAATGGTGAGGAGGTAGCTTAGAGCCAGGAGACGGACATAGGATATTTATTCATTTTTTTTTCAAATTTATGACTTGAAGAGCTTTTTATTTAACTTACTAAAATTATAAATGCGAATGTTTAGATGGATGTGATGTGGATGGATGGTTGTGTGGGCTACACTAATTACTTTTTTTTATATATCCACGCGGACGGAGTCGCGGGCCACAGCTTCTAAATATTATATTAATAGAGTATACTCGGTTACAGTTTAAGTACATGGATTATGATCACCTTACCTCATGCATGATATTACTATGAAAGCCATATATTACTCATCGACCCTTAAAGCTGACAGTGTGTCAGGTCTGAATAAATTTGAATATCAAATAAACTTTAGACACCATATTGGAATTGATAATGCCTCTGAACGTTAAAGAAAATCGGTAATTTATTATCATTTATTATAATTTATTCGAATATTGTAAGTTCACTTTGCATAATGTATTAGTTTTCCAGGTGTATGGAAATAAAAATATGCTTGAATATTATATCGAAAACTTATCTTCTGGTTACGCTTTAGTCTCTAAATTGTCTGCAATTTTTATTTTTGTATCAGGCAAATATCATGTTATCATTACGTATTATTCATATCAGTATGTATATTTTAATCTATACTAAAGTTAAATATTACTAATATTATAAATGCTAAAGCTTGGATGGATGTTTGTTACAATGTATTTCCGGAACGGGTCAACGGATCTTGTTTTTTTTTATAACAGAAGGTGGCAAACGAGCAGCGGGAACATCGAGGTGTTCAACGACGCCCACGGACATCAGCAATACCAGAGGAACCGCAAATGCGTTGCCGGCCTTTGAGATAGTGATAAGCTCGCATCTTGAAGGACCCTCAGTCGTAGCGGTTTGGAAATACCGCCGGGGACAGACCATTCCAACGCTGCTGTGCGAGGCAGGAAGTTTAGAACATAGTCTGGAAGAACACATATGCTATTTATTAAGTTTTTATTTTAATTCCACGCAGACGGAGTCGCAGGCAACAGCTAGTTAAATATAAATGCAAACGAAAAAAAAAACATTATAAATATGTCAAACTAAATAATATACTGTGCATGTTAATAATTAAATGACAGCATAGAGTTACAGTCATTATTTAAATATTAATTTAAAAAAAAATAATTAATTAAAACTTTAGAGATGACTTAATTTAGTACTGCAATTTACACAAATTATAATAAAGGTTGTGTGTTTGCTTTCAAATGCATTAACTTTAAACAAATCTCGCAGCACAGAGTAAACAACCCAGTAGAGCGTACACATTGTAACAGATGGATGCATTGCGACGCGCACTGCCGACTTGTGGTAACGCGAGGCAATCAATCTCTATTTTAAACTTACTCTGTACATCAATTTTACTACACAACGTGCGGTTTTCAAAATATGAAAATAAACTTTATACGAATTATGAAAATAAATGGTTTTTGGTAGGTTTTTAATGGCGGCCAGTGATAACTCACGCTCGTGACCTATAGGGGTAGGCAGAGATTACGTATTTTTCATTTGACTCATCCTGGTACACCTTTTTTTCAGAGGGGAATGCTTTATGCATACTTCGCGGGGATAGTTATGTGGGATTCTCTCGGATGGGAAGCTTACCCACTTAACCCCTCTGTTCCTCCTACACATCGTGGCGAGGCCACGGGCACGCTTGCGATCCTGACACAACTTCCTATTCCAAATTCATACATCTATGCATTCTGGTCAGTTACGGAACCTCGAAAGATTTTACCGTATCTTTAGTACAGTTTATTTATAGATAAAAAAATCATATAGTTTAGTGATATTTGAATATATAATACGATCTATTTTTACATATCAAAACTACTCATCAAAATGAACTAGTTTAAATTGACCTCTCATCTTACTACATTTATAAAAGTCCGAGATCAAGATCGGTTGGTTTTACGTCAGTTGTTAAAGTACATTTTCACTGGAGCAGAAATCATAACTACTATAATACTTCAAAATAAAGACGTTACATTTTATATATATTTTTTCATAATGATTATTAAAAACACTTGTCTTCCAGTTGTAGTGTTAATTTCCTCGTATTAGGTTTTTCCCCTTAATGTCAATAAATAAATAACATATATATAAATGTAGTACCTCTTAATCATAAATATTTTGTTACATTAATCCGAAATTTTATGTATAAAGAAAAAAAAATCTATTTCATTTGCACGTGAAAAAATGTTACAGCTATTAGTTTTTTTTCCAGTGTAAAAGAACCTTAAGCATACAGATAGCCTATCTTTTAAGTCAACAAATAAAACAAAGTTTTATATACAAGATGATGAATTACAATGTCGCATTGAGGACCGGCAGACTGTAATGGAAAACGTATTTTGGCTTTTAATACAACAAAAATGGGAGAAATCAATGTACAAAGCTTAGGAAATACAGGTATGAATATCTTTCTTCATAAATGATACGTATTTTTTTTTTATTTATACCATGTTACTGTATTTATACTGTAGCTGTCGCCTACGGGAAAAAAATTAATAAGTAGCCTATGTGTTCCTTCAGACTATGTTCTACAGCTGTACCAAATTTATTTTGTAAATACCACAAACATCCATCCAACTTAACCTTTGAATTTATAATATTAGTAAGATATGCTTCTGCATCAACTTTGCGAAATTCCTAATAATTTTTCAAATTCCCATCCATCCATTTTTAAAGAAAGAGAAACTTTTTATTCCTATCGCTTTTCCCTAAGAAGACACCATAATATGTTCCACCATTCCACTTATGGTAATTTTTATAACTCGCTTTATATTTAAAATGCAAAGATAAGTGCATAAAATTGAAAGCTTCGACAAAACGTAAAAATCACTATGCTATGTAAGCATTCATCATCATCATCATCACCATCATCAGCTCACTATACGTCCCCACCGAGGGGCGCGGAGCCTACCCTAAGTTAAGGGTGATTAGGCCATAGTCAACCACGCTGGCCAAGTGCGGGTTGGTTGACTTCACACATATCTTTGAATTTCTTCTCAGATATGAGCAGGTTGCATCACGATGCTTTCCTTCGCCGTAAGAATTGGGATGTCTATATTGGGATCTATGGTTAGCTAATACCCTCCTAAAGTGTCGATATATTATTATAAAAATTCACTGAAGGCTTGCTTAAAAATCATTAATTAGACTCTGAGTGTGAAATTTATATCATAATTTAAATTTTGTGACAATAATTTCCTCCGTAAACTTTGTTTATTATTCTACGTTGTATATACTATCTTATCAGTTTATTTTCTGTTATAAAAATAGATATATAAATTTGAATAGTTTTAACTAATTGTTTACTGTCTGTTTTAATATAAATAAAATGTTTGCTATAAGATTTAATATATTCAATGTTAATTATTCTTAAGATAATGATTATTTTTACACGAAACTGTTCTTTAGTTTGATTTTGATAACGTGAATGATTAGAAATAATATGCGATAGAATCAAATGATGCAATATTTTACAAAGATATTCGCAATGTTACTTTTTTAAATTATAATTGATGAATGCGTCTATAAGAAGATATGCGTAAGAAGGGGGTAGATTCGGATATGACGGCTGATAAAGATGTATGGAGGAGTAGTACATACTGTGCCGACCCTCGATAGGGATAAGGGCAGGTTGATGATGATGGTTGATGAATGCGTCTATCAACATGGGTTTTCACTGCAAAAACTCTTTAAACATATAATATTAACATCCCTTTCAGTATAAAACAAACGAGAAAACCACTAAAACTTACAACCGGTCTGACATATCCTATATTGTGCAATATAATTGCACAATAATTTCTAACATATTTTTATAGCTGCAGAATTTATAAAACTGGGTGATAGTGCTTTACTAAAGTTTGAATTAAAATGTAACGCAATATTTTAGATAAGAACCCAAGTGCAGTAGAACTAAAAACTCCGACTGAAGAATTGGATATAGCGTTGAAAGAATGTGGCTTCGGATGGTTCCATGTAATGCTACTGTTAGCTTCTCTTATCGGCTTCGTGGCCGGTCAGGGGGTGAGCAGCACCACACCTTATATCTTACCTGTTGCTGAATGTGATCTCAACATGGATTTACTGCAAAAAGGATTCTTAAATGCAATCCCATTTATAGGTAAGTTTAGAAATATCCTGAACTAGGGTCATTTGTGATTTCTAATTGCTGTCGTGGTCTTTCAAAAATAAGAAAAGAGTTAATACATCGCTCTTTGAAATTTTAAACTCGGTTTCGAATATGAGTCAATATTAAATGCTCGAAGGACCAATTTTATTCAATATGATCAAATCAAAAAGATCAAAAGGTAGGAGATGGAGGAGAAAAATTAAATAATTAGAATTTACTAGCTGTCCCCCGCGACTCCGTCCGCGCGGGATTAAAAATAGATGTTGGCCGATTCTCAGACCTACTCAATATGCTCACAAAATTTCATGAGAATCAGTCAAGCCGTTTCGGAGGAGTATGGGAGCGAAAATTGTGACACGAGAATTTTATATATAAATTAACTAAGCATGGATGTTTATTGTAGCTAAAATAATTGACACGTAGATATTATTTTTTATGACATTCTTTTTACATTTATTTATGGCATACTTATGACATTTGTGTCGCGACGTAGGCTTACAATATCGATTCAGTGACCTCATTTTTGCAATATGATGGTTAGTCTACATTTCTTTGTATGCCAAAAATACTATATTGTTTGTGAAGTACAAAGTATTTTCTTGTTCGTATAATTGGTATAATTAACCATGGTTTGTTGAGTCCAAAATCCCTGTTAAAACATATCGTTATCTCTGTTTTGGGAAAGGCAATGACAGGGATGACGATGTGTGATATACAGAGTTTGTGGACTCAGAAACCAACGGTAAGAGAGGAACTCGTATGTTTTATTGTCTTTGGCTATACAGTATTTTCAAGAAATGAAGAAGAAATTTTGGCTTTTATATCGAAATTGTGGTAAAAAAGAGGCAAAGGCCTTGGCAGAATTAAGTCATATTAAATGTGTTTTTTTTTATTTACTTTTAATTTACAGGAATGACAATATCTTCAATAGTTGCTGGATTTCTAACGGATACTTTTGGTAGGAAATTATTCCTCGTCTATGGATTTGGCGGACTATTTATATGTACGTTAATGGCGGGATCCAGTCAGACATACCTTTTATTCGCTTCTGCGAAATTTCTGGAAGGAGCACTGTAAGATATTTCTTTGAATACAGTTAATAAGAGTTAAGGAAATGTACATATCGTAAGCCTCGATGGAGGTACAAATAAATTGCTTTTGAAAGTACCAAGAAAACTAACCAAATAAAATAAATATTATTTAAGAAAAATTATTTAAATAAGCTATATTTATTCTTAATTTCATCCAAATCTGCTCTGCCATTTTGTTTCTGTGTAGTAACAATCATTCATGTACTAATAAAACTTTCGCATATTCAATATTAACAAGAGAAGGATTATATGGGAGACATCAAATTAGTTGCTTAATATTGTTTTCACATAATATGTTTGTTTATAGGTTTGGAATTTCTTTCAACCCGCTGATGATATTGACATCAGAATTCTGTCACAATGGCATCAGAGATCGCGTGGTGATGTTTCAATCATCATTCGCTGCGCTCGGTCAAGTTATCATTGCTATTATTGCATGGGTTATTCTTTCATTGAATTGGAAAGTGACGTTCTTCGACGGACATTTTGGTTAGTATCCTGACTTACACTCACACGAAACTCAATTCTCAGAGACGTTTAATCTTAAACAGACGCTTAATTTAGATTGCTTATACCATAGTGTGGGACTCCCTTAAAGACGACCACTTTAAGATAAGTGCAGAGGTAAATAAGTGCTTTTCATTATTAATTTCAGTTCTTAACACGTGGAACTTCTATATTTACGTGATGTCAATGTGGGCTCTGCTCTCTTGTTTATTTTATACGTTTCTACCTGAAAGCCCCAAGTACTACATCAGTCAGGGGAAATTCGACGCCGCTGGAGATGTGCTGATGAAAATTCATAAAACAAATATGAAATCTGATCTATCACTTTCGGTAAGATATTTTTTTCGAGATATGCATGTTATGCCCGCGAGTTCGTCCGCGTTAAATACTGTCTATGTTTATCTTATTTTTTTTAAATTTTTTGTTTTTTTCTAAAATAAACGTACCCTAAGTTAGTCCTTATTATATCAACTATCTGCCAATAAAGTCCCGTCAAAATCGATCCAGCTATTTCTGAGATTAGCCGGAAAAAACAGACAGACAGAAAGACAGTCAAAAATTGTAAAAAATGCTATGTATAGATTAGATATTTTGGTAGTATAACCTCAGTAACATTTATAATCTTTGGACATCTGATGCCACTCGCTACGGTAGTTGCATTGATGATTATTTAAGTTCTTTTTTTCAGCATTCTGAATTATGGACAAAGAAGGAGGTGAAGCGTGAAAGAAGCCAGTCACTGCGAAGTGAAAAAATTAGAAGTTTCAAAAAGAATCTAGTCATGGGCTTTTACAATTTAAAACCGATGTTCCGGAGACCTCTTCTTTATTATTTAATTCTTATCTGCGCTATGAATTTCTTAACTATGTTACTGTGAGTAACTATTCAGTTTTTGAATTGCATTTAAATTGCAAAGAGTAAATGTTGTAAAGTTCAAAAAGAAAACACAAATTTGGAGGATAGTAAAGTGTGCCAATATAGTTGTACTAAGTATCACCAGCGACACCGCACGGAATTAAAAAAAAATAATTAGTAGCCTATGTGTTCTTCCAGATTATGTTCTACATCTATGTTAAATTTCATTGAGATCCGTTCAGCCGTTCTGGATATCTATTTTGTGAATTTAAAGTTAATTTATTTCGACTAGTTAGGTCCAAAGATAAATTACTATATATTAAATGTACGCCAATAGAAAAGAATAAAATATGAAAATTATCTTTTAAATGTTTAATATCTTGAAGTAAAGAAATTTAATATTTCTATTTCAGATTCAACGTAATAAGGCTGTGGTATCCTCAGCTGTCGGCGATTGTCGAAAGTTTCGGCAGCAACCACGCGCGACAAGATTTATGTATGATGTTAGATTCATACACAGACGATATTAAGTTAAAAAGTGTTAATTCAACGGATCTGTCTACATGTGTACCGGTAATATTAAATTAAATTCTAGCTTGATACCTTCACGTGTTTTTGAGAAAAAGGGTCTTGACAGACGGACGAACGCACAACAATGTTATCCTATAAGGGTTCCGTTTTTTCCTATGAGGTACGGAACCCTGAAAAATAGTGTCGTTAGACAAACTGCATTCGCTACGAAGCGATTCCATAACGTACTTCAAAAATGTATTGAACTGAAAAAACTTTCTATAAGTCACTGACAGTACAAGTTTCTAAAACAAACATTACCGTTTAAAACTTATTATTATATCTATTTTGTTAAATATGAAAGACAGGGATCGCGATATGTTTTCTACACATATTTTGGTCTCAGAAACCATAGAGTAGTCATGTAGAAGAAAAGAGATAGTGTTGTCAGTATCGCGGCAAATGAAATTTAATTATACGCTTCTCATTTTATAGAGTAATTCCATGTTTAGTGTTCAACATAGTTCAATGAGTTCACACATACATGTTTGTCATTTCACTAAACTAAAGGGTCTCGAGGGGCCCTTACGAGCGGGAAGGTCATAAAAAGGTTACGATCTGTAGTAAATATTACTATTAAACTTTTACTTTAATAAAATATTTTAATAGAGAGTAAGGGTCATTGTGAAAACTAAGATGACTTCCAGGACTTGTGTGATTTGATACTTTCAAATATTTTTTTAACAGAATGAATAGATTAGTTAAACTTACTTATACTTATTTCTTATAATAATTGCAACTAATCTAGTATGTGCTAGAATATAGTGATTGTGAGTCCGTAACCAGAACCTTAGTTGACTAAGTCTTTAGCTAAGTTTCGTACGACCGCTTGAATTGGTTTAACGACTTAGCCGTTTTAACGACGTTCATAAAAAGTTTTTATTTTACATTTTTATGTCTCTATTTACACACTTATGACTAAACACAGTCAAAATAGACAACTTGCAATCTTTTGATGTAGATTTTTCATACTGGAATACGTAAGTGTGACCTTGTCCCTGTGGACAGTGTAACTGTAACCAGAGGGGTTTAGTGGGTACACTTCCCGTCCCTTTCCAATTAGGGATTTTGGATAGGAGAGAGTCCCATAGAACAATCGTGTCTTTCCCCATGACACGTGGCATGGGTAATGCATTCCCCTCTTAAAAAAATCTTAATAAGTCTTTTTTCTTATCAGATTTTTTTTGTTAATTTAAAATAAGCTCTATGCTTGTGCTAGGATATGGTTTACAACACTAGTCGACGGGATTCGAACCGACAACCACATGATCGGAAATCCGCACCCAAAAGCATAAGGCTATTGAAATTGTCTGACCTATGGGACACATTAACGACCAATTAAAGTTGGTCTGTACGGAAAATAACGTGCAATTATATTTCTTACAGACTAAAAGTGGAAAAGAGACTTACATTAACAGTGTTATTTTGGGCTGTGTGTCCTTAATACCTTTGGTACTAAGCGGAGTTCTTGTTAATAAAGTTGGCAAGAAGAATCTATTCCTTGTTGCTGGATTGATATCGGTAGGATGTACACTGGGATTACGATGGACAAGTTCTAAAGGGACAATGGTTGCGCTATTCTCTTCAGATGTGGCTATCACACAGGCAATGATGAGTTTGAATCAAGCGTTTACCGTTGAACTATTTCCTACAACTACAAGGTAAGAACTAATTAAAAATTTAACCTTAGGGAACATACCCATATTACGTGACCTATTTTTTAGTTTTTTCGACCCCTCCCTCCCCTCGGTGACCACTCGTAGTCTAGCCACGATCCCCACCACCACCCCTTTAGTAGTAATTCATAATTATGATTTTTAATCATTTCACAGGTAAAATTGAAAAAGAAATAATTTGGCTCATACTCTTCTTTATAGCATAAGACTGCATGCATTCTTAAATTACTAGTGAATTATGTATTATGAAAAAAAACAAGTAGTGACTACGTAACTAAAATATGCTCTCCCCCCTGCTCCTGGAACTGACCGTAGTATTTTAAAGACTCCGCTCTCCCCTCCCCCTAAACGGGTCACGTAGTATGGGTACGTTCCCTTAGCTTCAGTTTTAACTAGTAATTGAAATAACTTCTTCATATATTTTGTATTTCATTTAAAAGAAATATATTTTTAAATCCGCTTACGAACGTTACTTGTTTGACATAGACATAATTAATATGCATGTTGATAAATAAAATGTCAGTCTATAACATAAGCAACTGAGGTTCCCTCAAAGTAATAAAATGTCTCGTTTTTTAATGTTTAAATGTTTATTATATAAAACATATTAAAATTATGCTATGATTATTATAATCCACAAGTAATTACTAATCTGGACGATTTATCTTTGTAATCCATTTAAGTATACGTGATTTCATGAGATTGATTAATAGTTCGCTTTAGTTAGCTTTTAATAAACATTATAACACTTTGTAATTCACGTGTAACAATGTCAAATAACATTTTGCTTAAGCGTTATAATTTCTTATAGATACTAGCGTAATATTATATACAAAATTCTCGTCTTATATCTAAAATTCTCGTGTCACAATTTTCGTTCCCATACTCCTCCGCAACGGCTTGACCGATTCTCATGAAATTTTGTGAGCATATTGAGTAGGACTGAGAATCGGCCAACATCTATTTTTCATCCCCCTAAATGTTAAGGGTAGTCCACCCCAAATTTTTATTTTATTTTTTAGACAAACACGCGGACGCAGTCGCGGGCGACAGCTAGTTATTACATAAAATTCATTCAAAATCCAAAATTATATTTAATTATGATTAGAATTAGTTGTTGTCTTTTAAAATGTTGTAAGGAAGCGTGAAGTTCAATGTACGGACGAGGATCATTGAAAAATATTAACACCTAGCTGTCGCCCGCGACTTCGTCCACGCGGAATTTTAAAAAAACTTATTTAGTAGTCTATGTATTCTTCCAGACTACATCCATGTCAAATTTCAGAGATGCAGCCATTCTGGTGATACCTTCTAACAAACATTCATGCATCCATCCAAACAATCACATTTTTAATATAAGTAAGATTTTATTTTAAAATTGGAAATAGCGCCATCTAGTTCTAGTCTAGTGTAAACTTTGTACGACTTGTTTAAAAATTTTGTTTATTTAATTGCAGAACTTTAGCAATATCAATGATGATGACATTTGGAAGGATCGGCACTTTAGTGGGTAACGTCCTCTTCCCTGTAATGCTGAATATGGGATGTGGAATATCGTTTTATACGCTCGCAGGATTAATGATATGTGAGTAAATAATTAAACTTTTAATGATCGTTTTAAATTATCAATCTAATTAATAATAATATTCTTTAATTAATTGACTTTATGTCTTCATTATCCCCTTGTCTTTATCTCATCATATGCGTGGGTCAACTCACCGGTTTGTCATTCTGCATATCGATTTATTTTCTGACATTTATTTGCGCACTAATTTAAAAATGACAATAATTTATTCAAGACAATTTTCATGAAGTAAATTTCTAAAATAATATATTTTTTATATCATAAGATGGCAAACGAGCGAGCGGCCACCTGAAATCGCTGAAATAGTGAAGTGACCGTTGCCCATAGACATACGCAATTGCATATGCGTTGCCTACCTTTAATCGACGGAGGAGAGTATGCACAGAAAGAAAACAATTTTCCCATTCCATGCATCCTCTCATCCGGAATGTCCACTTCCACTTCCCATCTTTCCTTATTAGAGAAAAAGGGTAGGATAGGAAAAGGAACAAAATAATAATCAAGTCAAGTAAAAATCTCAATTTTTTCTCATTTCAGGCGTCACCGCGATGGCGTTATTTTTACCAAAAAAGAAATAATCTATTTAACTTCATAACAACACACCACAAAGCGCTAAGTGGAGAAATAAATGTCCTCCATTTGCTTATTATTAATGGCCAGTGAGAAAACGTAATTTATTTTATAACTTACAAAATAACCTCGAATGGGAATACCTTCATAATTTAAGTAAAATAAATGTTTTAGTTTTAGCTATATTATTTGTTCATCTAGTCTGTTCATGTAGTTGTAATATAAGAAGCATTACATCCGAATAATCTAAGTGTGTTTTTCCATAATTAGGTATTAAGTCTACATCCATATAAAGAAAATTATGTTTATAATACATGTTAAAACGAGGAACAATAAATAAATATCCTTACAAAAAACATTCTTTTACTTTTTCAACTATAGTGTGTATATTTAAGATAGATAAGTTTGACAATTAATTTAACAATTAATTAGATAGGGGTTGAGTAAAATCGATTAAGAGTTATTTCGATTTTCGATGGTTGTTCTTATACAACTTGCAATCGAAAATTTTGTGATAAATGTGTTTGTATTGAAATATAAAAAAAATATTGTTTCTTCCTATTCCTCAAAACTACATAAAGAAATAAAACACTAAAACAAAATTCAGATGTTGTCAAACAAAAATATTTTTTTAAGGTTTTTTTAGTCAATTGTGCGAGACGTACCTAAATCTTTATATATATATAATTCTTCTGTGAGTGTGTATGTCACTGAACTTCTCTCAAACGACTGGACCGATTTTGATGAAATTTTTTGTGTGTTCAAGGGGATCTGGGAATGGTTTAGATTCACAATTTTTTCCGCTGGACAATGTTTTTTAATTAATTCTTAATTTATTAGTAGTTGTTGATTTTGGAATGTTTTACATTGGATCCGACAGACGGCGTTACCATCGCAGTGTCAAATTGTCAGACAACGTCTGTCGGGTCCGCTAGTATTTGTATAAAATTAAACAAGTTATAAAATACCTACGTTATCGTACTTATTTGTTTGATTAATATTATTACAAAACCGATTTTCGCTAGTTTATAGTACTTCGTTATGCGCGTACCGTGGACACTATGACAATCATCCAGTAAGTACACATTCATCGTATTTCAAAATTAATTTGATAAGTGACAGTTGTCAAACTAATCTATTTTAAATAGACACACTATAAAGGATTGTTCACACGATCGATTAATTAATCAAGACACTTTATATGCTCTCATTTTATATTATTTTAATCCTTATTTAGAATGACTTTTAAAGAAAACAAAATTAGTTAACTGCCACACGTGCGAGGAGTAATAATATCATCACGCTAAATAAAATACAAACAGTTTTAAATGTACCTGGTATATACACATGTTAGAGATATTCCACACGTGCAGGTAATCAGTGCGGAGTCCTTGTTTGTGTCGTGTTGTTATGGCGTGCTCGGAGGTAACAAGCAAGAAACAATAGACATCTACGGTATACTACTGCACTCGTTGTTTTTATAAGACCTTCCATATGTGTATGTTTACTATAGGATTCATAGCTTTTTTTAGTATCATCAGCTCACTATAAGTCCACACCGAAGGGCTCCTACCCTAAATTAAGGATGATTAGGCCATAGACAACCGTGCTGGCCAGGTGCGGGTTGGTTGACTTCACACATATCTTTGAATATCTTCTCAGATATGTACAGGTTGCATCACGATGTTTTCCTTCAACGTAAGAACGTCGGATAAGTGTACATATGTTAATGGAAAAACACATTGGTACATGGCGGGATTCGAACTCAGAACCCGCAGATGGCAAATCGAGTGCTTGACCCCTGAGCTGCCGACGCTCTACATATGTTACTTCCTTTTTTTAATATTTATACAATACTAGTTGTCTCCCTCGACCGTCCGCGCGTAAATAAAAACAAACCTTAAAAGCCTTTGTGTTCTTCCAAGATATGTTCTACATCTATGACAAATTTCAGCATCCATGCAGCCGTTCTAGAGAAACCTACAGATTTTATGTTTCTTTAAAAACAAAAATTGTTTTTAAAATAATTACGCCAGATTTAATTTGAATGTAGGATTAGTAAAATACGAGGAAAATCTACCACTAAACCGAGCGGGTAAAATATTTCAATATTACTTTGAGTTTCCGAGAAAGAAGGTCGCTTAGAAAATGTAATCTGAGTTGATCGTATCCAATATTAAAGATAGTTTCTGAAACTATCTCTCATATTAGCAGTTGACAGCCTCTAGTAATAATTGTAAACTACACTAGCAATTCCCCCCTGACATCGCTTCCATTTGAAATATAAACATAATGAATAGTTTGCATTAGCTTAACATCATTGCTTTTTTATCTTTACAATTATTAGTAAAATTGTAAATATATATATAATATTTCGTAAATAAGCTGTATTTTTGTTGTTTACAATGAAAATCCAATTTATTTTTCATATTTCTAGCCTGCGACTTTGGTCTCACACGACCGCTTTTGTAAAGATCCACGTGTTCTATTTTCAACGGTGCGATTGCGATACGAAATGATAGTCGTGCGCGACCGTAGTCGTGCAACTGTCTCCTATAAATTAAAAGAAACACTTACTGTGGGTTTCTTAAACCAAAATCTTCATTCAAAACCTATTGTTATCTCTGTTTTGTCAACGATAATGACAGGGATGACGATATGTTTTATATACAGATTTTTGTATCAGAAAGATGTGGTTAGTAATATTGCAATGCATATTTGTTCAACATACTTTAGATAATATTAAAACTTATTTGAATTGCAGTTTTGAGTGATTTCAGTCGGATTTATGTAAATACGACTAAAAGTATTTCGAATTACTTCCAGTGTTGATGTTAAATTTTAAATCGCGTTAAGCTCTCGTTGTCTTTCCATTCGTTGTACGATTACAAACGATGTTTTAAACAAAAAAAATATAAAGTGCTTACATTGTATTAAACCATTGTTCTGGTTTGACATTCAAAAGAATTCTATTCAACTATTCTTTTGTCTACGTCATAAGAAAGAATGGAAAAAAATTCCTTTTAACATAATAGAGAATCTTGTAAGAAGTCAATGTTTTTTTCATACGTCTACGTTTAAAGTAATGGATAGGTTTCTGGTCTTTATCAAATATTGCCTTCTTCAGTTTATTCTCCGGGTAATCTTTTTTTTTTATAAGAGAAGGTGCAAACGAGTGGCGGGAACACCGAGGTGATCAACGACATCCATGGACATCTGCAACACCAGAGGAACTGCAGATGCATTGCCAGCCTTTAAGGAAATGGTATGCTCGCTTCTTGAAGGTCCCTAAGTCGTATCGGTTTGGAAATACCGCCAAGGACAGACCGTTTCATAACGCGACTGTGCGAGGCAAGAAATTGAGAATCGCACCGTTGTGGAACGCCAGCCATCCAGGTGGTATGGATGGAACCTGGCGGTCTGTCGTGTCAAATCTCCGAAACGACTTGACTGATTTTAACAGGACTTTTTTCTGCGCTGACAAAGTCGCGGGCAATCGCTAGTTAAAAAAATAAATAAAAAATCTATATTGTTCATTAAACATGCCTTTGATATTTCGTGCAATTGTATAATTTAAAAAAAAACTAACTCTTAGAATAGCTGATACGAGTCTGGTAACAAAAAAATAATTTTTAAGTCTCTTTATTTCTGAGTCGATGTCTAAAGAATACGTTCCTACTGTACAGAATACGCATCTACTGTACAGTGTTGCCGTAGAAATTCATTGCTATTACAATTATACCAACGCACTAGCGATCACCCGCGACTTCGTCCCCGCAGAATAAAAAAAAGCTAATAATATGCCCGTATCTTCCTGTCAAGTCCCGTCAAAATCGGTGCCTACGTTCCAGAGATTATCCAAAACAAACGCGGCCTCGCGGACAGATAGACAAAAATTTTAAAAATTGTTTTTTCGTTATCAGCAACGCAAATACATCACTTGTATAAAATGGTAATTTTTTCACGCATACAGACACTCCAATTTTTTTGATATGTATAGATATTGTTGTCCCTATTTTGTCAAAGAGAATGAAAGAGATGCCAAAACATGTGTTAATATAACTGTCACGGTGGAATTTACATTTAAAATACGTCATCATTATCAGCTCACTATATGTCCCCACCGAGGAGCTCGGAGTCTACCTTAAGTTAAGGGTGATTAGGCCATAGTCAACCACGCTGGCCAAGTGCGGGTTGGTTGACTTCACACATATCTTTGAATTTCTTCTCAGATATATGCAGGTTGCATCACGATGTTTTCCTTCACCGTAAGAACGTCGGATAAATGTACATATATAAATCGGAAATCGAAAAACACATTGATACATGGCGGGATTCGAACCCGTATTACGTACGTAATATTGTTAAATAAGAAACTTTTAAAACACTTTGGAATCGCAGAGATTGTGCAACAACCTTAATAAAAGTTAGCTATATTGCCGTATTGTCTGCAGGTAATGGAATAATACTATCATTCCCTTTGTTGCGTCGAGATAATGGTCCAACTTTGCCATTTGAGCAGGTACAACTAGAACTATTTTCCATTTCTAAGCTCCAAGTATTCTTTCCATTTGAAACCACCAGATTGTTATCTGTCACATTTATGAATCAGAAGTTGCCTCGTTAGTTCCAGATATTGCGCTATTCTTATCTGTAAAAGTTATTTTTTTACGATTAAATGATAAGATATTATCAGTCATCAAAAGTAAGACAATTTTACGTTTAAACTACAGGTATAGTACGACAAGCTTATTTTTCCGGTAAGAGGGGAGCTTCTATTGTGGTTAGATGTGCCAGAAAAAAAGTAAAATCTAAATAATTATTATACATGTCAAGAGAACTCAGGTACAACAAAGATCTTGTGACTATTTGCGACGTTTGGAAGGGGGCGTTAGTGAGCTGTCATAACGCGGTTGAACCTAATATCGGTTACTGGATTATACATATTATACTCTTTGGTTGACTCAAGCTCGAGTCAGAAAACTTTATTGGTACACATTTTTGTAAGAAAACTGATAAATAACTATTTTGTACCATTTTTATGCTAATATTTTATCATCATATTTGGTATAAAACAATTACTAACATTCAGTTATTGAGTGTTACAAAGATATATAATTGTAAAGAGTACTGCTAAATATTTATCTGCGCTTTTGTAAAAGTGCACAGTATTCTATTTTCGAAAAATCTGATACGCAGAGCTGAACAACCAAAAAACATTGTAACCCGCATGGCGCACTCTATTGTGGAAGTGACAAAATGTTCCGTTCAGTGAGATATTTCATGATTGCCAGCGTTCAGTTTTTAGTATCGAACGCTGTAGGCCGAGGGTACAATTTACCTTTTAACAAAAATCGCCGATGCTGCAAGAATATTGAGTTTTACAATTGTAGACTAACTTTTTCAAACGTTGATTTGTAAAGAACAAGGAAATAAAGGATTTTAAGCCAATGATTTTATAATATTATTAGATGTTATCAAATTTAATGTACTATCTTGACAATACAAAAAAAAACGAATTAAGATCAAGAGCAAATTTTAGTTCAAAAACTTTATCTAGATGGCGTTAATTTAAAATTGAATAATTAGTAACTATAATGTTGTTAAATTTTAATAAACCATAGGTTTGTGATACCATAATCTCTGTATAAGACTATCGTCATCCCTTTCTTTCATGTTTGACAAAACAGAGATAGCAATATGTTTTAAACGGAGACTTTGAACTTAGAAACCCACGGTTATTCTCCTATTAACATGTAAAATATTTCCATGTTTGTTTGTTTTAAAATTTGTGATTTATTACTCGATATAAATAATATAACTATATAAAAAGTCAATATATTGCCGGCAATAGTATCGTTGGGCAATTTCCGAGTGATACAACGTCCATTAGTAAAACAAATGTGCAATAAATTACTAGAAGCGCCACCGGATATTCGTTGATCGGATATAGTATGCTCTCCAGCGGCTGATGTGATACGTGAAGCAACTAATCAATACAAACGGGTAACTGTTAATAGATTATAACTCTTAATGCCTCTACTTATTGGTTATCTATTACCATTCCAATTAATCTTACTAATATTATAAACTAGCTGTCGCCCGCGACTACGTCCGCGTGGATATATAAAAAACTTAACATATAGATAAGTTTAATAAAAAGCAGCTTTTCAAAACATAAATTCGAAAAAATATGAATAAATAGTATCCTATGTCCGTCTTCTGGCTCTAAGCTACCTCCTCACCAATTTTCAGCCATATCGGTAAAGCCGTTCTTGAGTTATAAATAGTGTAACTAACACGACTTTCTTTTATATATACATATAGATGCCAAAGTTTAGGATGGATGTTTGTAAGAAAGTATCTCCAGAACCGCTCAATGGATCTCGATAAATTTTGGCACAGGTGCAGAAAGAACATAGTCTGAAGTACACTTAAGGTACTTACCAAGGTTTTTTTAAATTCACCGTCGTCAGAGTCGCGGACAGAAGCTAGTTAGTTAAATATAATGAGTATATAGTACCCTACTTCTAACTACGTAACAGTTGCAAGCCTATTTTTCAGAATACGGATGTATAAGAACTTAAAAAGCATTCGATTCTAATATAAAATTGTTGTATAAGTTTAAAAATGGAACAAGCCGAGACGTTTGTAATTTTTATTATAGGACTGGCAACTATGTCGACCCTAATATGGTTAAAAGAAAAAAATGGTGTTTGATTATTTATCTACTCAAAAATTAATGAATGAAATTGTTTCTATGACATTATATACTAGTGTAAAATTATGTAACATGAAAGACGATATACGCTTGTGTGCTGTTTTTCTAAATTTATCTAAAGTTTACTCATTAGTGCTATACGACCATTTTATAAAGATCTCTCAGTATCCGCTTGCTAAAATACATCTGATTGATTAAGGAACAGTAGTATATGATTTCGGAGGTCAAGATAAATTTGATGATATCACGGTCGTTGAATCCAAGATAAATTGAGTCAACGTTATAATACATGAATATATTTATTATAGTTCAGTAGCTGTTGGCAATTTCTCAAGTGATAATGACAAAAGACTGTGATGTTATTCGATTAAAGATTGCTCTTATGTGTGAATACAAAAATTAAAATGAGTGAAATTGATTTAACAGCTTTGGATGATGGGGGTAAGTAAAATGTAAAACGATTAGTCTTCTGTTTCATCATTCAATTATTTACGTAAATAAAAAAGCACCGTGCTTGTTCTAGATCTTCTGTATTAGCCAGCCTTTTTAATAAATTATAACGATTTCAGCGATGTTTTAATAATATTTTTGACTGTCGATATGTTAAATTATTTATCAAAAGATTCGATACAGTTTTATGTATAAAATGTCTTGTATGGTTCATAAGAAATTGTTGTCATTGGTTTAACACAGAGTAACCTTTTCTTAATTTTACATCTGTTTTTAGAGCTACAATTATTATCGTATATTTACTTAATTTTGTCTGGTAATAATATTTATATAGGTGTTTCATACTAACCACATGTTAATTTAACACAATTTATTTTGAGCCCATTGTGATAATCATTATTTAAAAATTAAATTGTTAACTAACCTCTTTTTATTACACACGTTGAAAATCATTGAAGTAAGGTGTTTAGCTTCAATACGTGCTTTGAAGGTAGAGTTAAAATATGCGCATTTATAATATTAGTATGGCAACATCAAATTTTCTAAAGACATAACGTTTTAGACTATGTGAAATAGAAAAGTTTAATATTCCTTAAAACCTATTAAAATGTTACAGGAAAGGAGCGTCAAGATCCTAAAATACTGACGTCTATGCAAGAAATTGATTTGGCACTGAAAGAATGTGGAATTGGCTGGTTTCATGTGTTACTAATGACGTCATCATTCGTTGGATTGATAGCAGGCGTCCTTGTGACAAATACAACTCCTTACATATTGCCCATAGCTGAATGTGATTTAAATATGAATTTAATTCAAAAGGGATTATTAAATGCAATGCCATATATAGGTAATCTTCTGATATCATTTTCAATAAGAAATAAGAGAGAAATAAATTCATTTATTCAAAAGAAAAGGTGTTAATTCGGCATGTTCTGCGGTGAATACCACAGCACCGGTTATCAATGAACCCTAAAATATGAGAACAGTAAAGAACAATATTATTCTTTGAGTTCATCATCATCATTCCCCTTTTGTTCATCATCATTTTCATAGTCTGTGTCAACAGCGGGACAGATTTAGGTATTCCCCAATGTCTTTCATAATATTCGATACTCCGCTTTCCAGCGACGTAAAGATGTAATATTTTTTAATTAACTAAGACTGAAACTAGTTTAGATATTGCTTCATTTTATTCTTCTCATCTAACTATTTGGTAATTATTTATTTCCAGGTATGACAATAGTTTCAATAGTTGCCGGTTTTTTAACGGATACGTTTGGCAGAAAGATCTTTTTGGTGTACGGTTTTGGTGGTCTTTTCATATTTACCATTATCGGTGGATCAAGTCAAAGCTATGAGGTTTTGGTTATAACGAAGTTCTTCGAAGGAATTTTGTAAGTGTATTAACATTGTCGATTTTGTTAAATCTTTATGTAGGTTCCATCTCTAATTTTATAAAAGGACATTTTCAGAATTTGATATACTTGTTCCTAGAATGTTCTATAAAGATTTCATCTACATTTTTCAGATTTGCAATATCGTTCAGCCCTACTTTGACAATAACATCGGAATTTTGCTACAAAGAGATCAGAGATCGAGTGGTGCTGTTCAGATCTTCTTTCACGGCTTTTGCTCAGATACTTGTTGCTGCGATGTCTTGGGGAATACTTACACACGATTGGAAGTACAGCTTGTTTAATGGATACATAGGTACAGTCAGCTACATTAATTCTTAAACCTTAAAAACTTATAAAGTTCTTCGGTTTCAAAAATATTAAGCACGTATTATAAGATAAGAATACGGACAGATACGTGTATACAAATTTTTGTAACCGAAAGCATATAGAAATTTCTGAAGCACTGTAAATGTACACAGCTGTATATTTATGTAGCTGACTGTACAAATAAAAATATGTTAATAGTGGTGATGTTATGCGTTTGTAGTTGAATATTCTACACCGATCGCATCGCTCAGTATCATAGTTTGCATATTATTACGAAATTTCATCAGCAATTTTTTTTTTCAATTTCAGAACTCCATGTATGGAATTTCTACATCTACCTAATGTCTCTATGGGCTTTTTTTTCATTTGTGCTTTACGCTATTTTACCAGAAAGTCCTAGATTTTACTTAACTCAAAAGAAATATAATGAAGCGAGGAAAGTACTAATTAAAATGTATACAATGAACACTGGGAAGCCAGCTGAAACATACAAGGTAAAATATTTGGGTGCTTTTGTTAGGCTACGTAGTGTTTTAATTTCCCTTTTGAGTTTATTTGTAGAATATTAATTACAAAATTATTATAAACCCACGGACAGTATCCATTTCTTAAATATAAAATATAAAAGCTATCCAAACTTCTTGGTAAAAAAGTCTTAATAACAAGCTCCCGTGTTTCAGAAAACCAAGAGAAATATGACGAATCAGAACTTTTTAAGACAGTTTAATTCTTATATATGGTGTTTAGTTACTAGTCATGTAGTTTTAACTTTTAATTAATATGATTTTCAGTACATCGATTTATGGAAAGACAAAGAAAAAGAAATGATAGACGAAGAGCCAGAGCGAAAATTAATGGCCAGCTTCAAACATCAGCTGATAACCGGACTTCTTAATGTTAAACCGATGTTAAGGAAACCGTTGCTCGGTTACCTGCTTTTGATATCTGGTTTAAATTTCTTAAGTATGGCTCTGTGAGTATTTCATATATTTTTTTATATTTACACTATAAATATTTACCGTTGGTTTCTGAGAACTCCTTAGATAAACATCTTCATTTCTGTTCATTATCTTTGACATACCAGAGATAATATGTTTTCAACGGCGATTTCAGTCTCAGAAACCCACTGTTAGAGAAGACATTGTATGATCCAATAATTTATTCATTTATTTATTTTTAAAAATTCACTTATAAAATTACACAAACAGGCTGAGCGTTGGAGTCTGCCATAGTATGAACTGTGTGACAGACACCGGCGCCTTTCCTTTACAATATACATATGTAGTTAGCAAATTAGTGCTTGTGAGTGTGTGTGTAAGGTGAGCAGAAATAGATATGTTTATCTTGTTTCTCTTTACTATGTTTCGATGAATAACGGAAAATCAGTCTTTTAATTATTTAATGTAACGTATCGAAAGCTAAATTTATTTGAAGAGTAACGCTGCAAATTGTATTCGTCCCTTACTGATGTAGGGCTTTAATTCAATTGGGCATAAAATAATTACGTATTTCAATGTATGAAATTAGTTTCAATTTGCTTATGTAAATACAACGTTTAAACTAAAGATTCTTATGTTAACATATATACGTTTCCTATGAAATGAATTACATAAAACATACAATTATTTGAACGTTGATAATTTTTTATCTCATACAAATATTTTCGCTAGTTTTAACACAGTGAGATAAAATTTATTGCGTCAGAGAGTCTGAAATGAAATTACTTTGTATATTAATATGTATAATTACTTATCAGATATTAAGCTGGAGCTAAGCATGGGGAAGTACGTCATCATCATCGTCAGCCAGTGTCAGTTCACAATTGCATAAAGGCGCTAAAGCGCGTAATGAGCCTCGGTGGCTCAGTGGTCAAGCAATTGACTTGCAATCTGCAGGTCCTGGGTTCGAATCCCGCCATGTACGAATGTGTTTTTCGATTTCCGATTTACATATGTACATTTATCCGACGTTCTTACGGTGAAGGTAAACATCATGATGCAACCTGCACATATCTGAGAAGTAAGATATGTGTGAAGTCAACCAACCTGCACTTGGCCAGCGTGTTTGACTATGGTCTAATCACCCTTTACTTAGGATAGTCTCCGAGCCCCTCGGTGGGGACGTATAGTGAGCTGATGATGATGATGATGAAATATGAATAAGCAAGGGAAATACTGTTTCCATATTGATAACTCAAAGAATCATCTTATGTTGAAAAGTCTGACCGTTGGTTTCTGAGACTATTAGCTTTGTGTAAAACATATCGTCATGCTTGTCATTATCTTTAACATAACAGAGATGAAAACATGTTTGAAACGGAGATTTTGGTCTCGGAAACCCACAGTAAATGAGTTTATATACAAACGTAAATATATTCATTAACGATAATTACACTCAATTCACTTGAAATGCAACAAATAAAGCGCAAAATAATTCCAATATTGAATGAAAATCACATTTATGATATGCTTATTTAAGCTTCATGCCTAATTATGCTTGATAAATATTTTCATTTTCAGTTATAACGTAATAAGGCTGTGGTTTCCCCAGCTGTCGACAATTGTCGAACATTACAGTAATATTGATGCTGGAAACGATTTATGTGGAATGCTGGATTCTTATACAAATGATCTAAAAATGAGAAGTATAAATACGACTTCATCCGAAGTTTGTGTGCCGGTGAGTTAGCACTTTTATAGGTCAAACTTGCAATAGATTCATCATCATCAGCTCACTATACGTCCCTACCGAGGGTTCGGACTACCCTAAGTTAAGGGTGATTAGGCCATAGTCAACCACGCTGGCCCAGTGCGGGTTGGTTGACTTCACACATATCTTTGAATTTCTTCTCAAATATGTGCAGGTTATATTACGATATTTTCCTTCACCGTAAGAACGTCGGATAATTGTATATATGTAAATCGGAAATCGAAAAATACATTGGTACATGGCGGGATTCGAACCTAGGACATGCAGATTGCAAGTCATGTGCTTGACCCCTGAGCCACCGACGCTCTTAATGCTGCAATAGATTAATGTACAGTAAGTGATTCGATGCCTATTTACATCTACCATATTCGAGGTGAGAACGTTCTCGTGACGTAATCGATAAAATTACAGCACCCTTACTAAAATCCTAATTTTGACATAATATTTTATCGGTAATGTTACGAAGGCGTGTATCGCAGATATTCTTACAAGGCCTTCAGGTGAGCGTAAGACGCGTTGCAGAATCATAAGGATACGTCCACATCTTGTGAATGCGGTGTGGAGACGTAGCCGTTTGCAAACTTTGATGCACTCACGTTCTATACCACTGACAGGCTTGGCATTTTTGTACACAAAAGTATAGTAGCATGGAAAGTGTTAAAAAATAGTTATTTAACAGTGGTAGAGCCCGCTTTATCATCTTCGCACGAATTGGCTCGGTGAAATACTACGACCACACCGAAGACAAGCGTGAAGCAATTCCGCGTTTTGTCTGATGAGTGTGCTTCCCGGAGGCCTTTTTTCTGTGCATCCTCTCCCCCGTCGATTAAAGGTAGGCAACGCATATGCAATTGTGTATGTCTATGGGCAACGGTCACTTCGCTATATCAGCGATTTCAGGTGGCCGCTCGCTCGTTTGCCATCTTATGATATAAAAAAAAGTTATGTAACTATTTTACGATAGAAATAAATTTCTACTTAATAAAATAGGACCCAATTATTTTGAAAACATCTGCGTATTTCAATACGTGAAATAAGATTCGTATAATCATTTTTTCTTTGTGTATATATTTAAATAACCAAATAAATAACTCAACAAAAATTTGTCGTATTGAAAGTACTCGTAGAACGTTTGATTTGCAGACGAAAGTATTTGAATTCGCGTGCTCTTCAACCATTATGGAAAATACGTTGCTTAAGACTGCCTACTTGTGGTAATAAATAAAGCAAACTAGCGTGTACCGTATTGTTATTATATATTTGACTGTTCTCTGCTCATTATGTACAAGACTTTATTAATGCTTACAGTTTATGAATAAATCACCAAGTCATTCGATTGAATTCATATAATTAAACAAAAGGACTAACGAAAACGAAATTGTGATTTCCAACGAAAGGAAGCAAGTTTTATATTTAAGATTTAAAAGAAGAACTTACTTATGCTATGTTTTACATCGAAGCCAAATTTTAGCGAAATCCATGCAGCCGTTCTAGAGATACCTTCAAACAAACATCCCTCCAAACATTTGAATTTATAATATTAGTAAGATTTCCATGTACAAAATCAAACCTAATGAGAACCATAGAGGATAAATGCTTGCTCTATGTAAATCGACATGAAAAAGGTTATTAACTTTTAATTCGTTTCATATTAATATAAAAGAAACATTGCATGTTTTTAGTAATTTAAATTAATTCAAATTTTATGACATGTTAGAAATTTAATTAAATAATATGCCCTTTTCTAAACATGCATGTCTAAACTTTATTATTTCTACATAACTTTCGAATACTTTTAAAACTAAATTTTCTAAATCACAACGAATATGTAAATCTAACTTAGTTAATGACTTTAAATTAGGTTAAATGTTTGAATTTAATTAGATACGAATACATTTTTTTTTATTTTAAATACAGAGACCTCATCATCATCATCAGCTCACTATCCGCCCCCACCGAGGGGCTCGGAGCCTACCCTAAGTTAAGGGTGATTAGGCCATAGTCAACCACGCTGGCCAAGTGCGAGTTGGTTGACTTCACACATATCTTCTCAGATATGTGCAGGTTGCATCACGATGTTTTCCTTCATCTTAAGAACGTCGGATAAATGTACATATGTACATCGAAAAACACATTGGTACAGGATTCGAACCCAGGACCTGCAGATTGTAAGTCAAGTGCTTGATACCTGAGCCATCGACGCTCTTAAATACAGAGTATCAAACATAAATATGAAACCGCAGTATCACATCATGTTTTCTATTGCAATTATATTAAAGTTCGCACGATGTTTGAAGCCGGTTCATTTTCTGTTTATTTTTATAGCGTCAGGCGACGTGATACTGTCTGCACTGTAATATCATTAAGGTGTCTATTAAAGTGGTAGCAGAAATGAAGCAAGGGTTGCAAGTTTATAAAATAAATTTTCTTTTGCAACAACATTTTTACTGGCAACATTATTGATAAAAGTAAACTGTTTACTTATTCATGCTTGGTTTAGAGTTAGACTTTTATGAACTACTTTTAGTAAGAAATTGAAGATGAATATAAATCTAACATTCCAGACATTTCTATTATTTCCTTAATTGTAAATCTGAAATACTAATATTTTAATATTAACCACTAATAGGTCTTTCTAACATAAATGTAAATGTTTATTTGGACGAATGGATGGAATGGAACAAATGTTTGAAGGTATCTCTAGAACGGCTGGACGGATCTCGATGAAATTTGGCAATCATAAAGAACATAGTCTGAAAGAACACATACTACTAAGTTTTTCTTAATCCCGCGCAGACGGAGTCGCGGGCGACAGCTAGTTAACAATAATTTTATTTTAATTTCAGACTCGTAGTGGCAATGAAACGTACATCAACAGTATTATTTTAGGCTGCGTTTGCATTATACCGTTTGCTTTAAGCGGTATTCTAGTGAACAAAGTTGGTAAAAAGAATCTGTACATAGCAGCAGGATTTATATGCGTATGTATAACATTGGCAATAAGATGGGCGGACTCCAAAGTTGCGGTGGTCGCACTATTCTCCGTCGATACCGCAATATCGCAGACCATGATTGGTTTGTTTCAGGCGTTAACGCTTGAATTGTTCCCCACAACAATAAGGTATTTTTTAGTATCTTCTTTGATGTTTACATCCTGTTTTTCGATCGTCTTGTATTTATGGTAAACCTAGTCTAATTTTGCTGTTATTACAATAGAAAAATTAAATATTGCATATTTAGTATCAATCGTCATTCTTCTTCTTCGTCGTTACAGTCTTGTCAGACTGGTCGTGGTCATCAAGTATCAGTGACCCGCTTTACCATGCGCCGCCACTCCTCCCTAGTCGGTGCTTTTTTTGTACATTGGTGTAGAGGGACATCCACAGCCGCTCTGATATGGTCGGTCCACCTCATAGGCGATCTTCATACATCAGTTTAAATATTTATTAAAAAAAATCAAATTCATGGCGATTGATAAATGCTTTGCTCTCTATTTTAGATAAGACAGACAGTAAATTGATTTAATTTATTTTATTATGTTGTTGGAAATTAAAAAAATATGTTTAATTTCTCCACAGAACTCTGGCGATTTCGGTAATTATGACATTTGGTAGAATCGGCACTCTCGTAGGCAACGTGGCATTCCCTGTTCTGCTCAATATGGGATGTGTTGTACCTTTTTATTCGCTTACAGGGGTTATGATATGTGAGTATATTTTTGCCCCAATATTATTCCATCAATGAAATATGTGTATGAAAAAGAATTCTGAAAGTAACAACATCCCTAAAAAGATTTAAAAAAAAACAAAGCATTTATGTTGATCGTTATCATCGCTTATTCGAAGAACCTTTCTAACTTTACTGGACCAAAATATGAATTAAAGTTGAGATGATAAATTTGAAAAACTTAAGAAAAATTCTTGCTACTAAATGGTGGGTCCTCGGCAATATCGGCGATTTTATCAAACCATTAATTACGACTTATGTTCCATAAAGAAGCGTGTGTACTTTTTCTTAATGGCCAGCAACTGTACTTCCTTCTCTGTTCCTGACATTATTTTGTCTTTTTCTCTTAAATAACCAACAAACAGCTAAATAGTATACACTAAAAAGCCATATGAATATAGCTTTTAATTTCGAAGCATTGAAAATTAATATTAATTTTTAAATGTGAAATAATTTATAAAATGATACAGCAAACATATTATTGAAGTGACCAAAAGCATTCATTAACTAATTACAACGTTTTCAAATATAAGAGTAAATTCGATGGTAATGTGACACGTATAATTGTTTTTTTTTATCTTAATAAAATTGAATATTTTTCCATTAAATAAATTTAATTTTGCATAAAACTAATATCAAATTCATATATACAAAAGCAAGATACCACTGAGTTTTAATCTACATGAATTTGATTAAATTTATCGACTCATCCAACGAAGAGAAAAAAAGATAGAAGATAGAAATGAGAAAATGGAACAAACCTATTTAAAAAATATTATCATCTTAAGGCTGTAATAACAGCCTTATTAGAAACAAACAATATCATTAATTAAAACTGTAACTTCCCAAAATAAATCCATAGACAACGAGTAAAATTGACAGTCAGTGACACGTGTAAATATAATTTCTGATTTCCATTGAATTGTGTACGTCGGATGAGTTGAAGGAATACTAAATATAGATAATTTTGTTTTGCAGGTGTGACAGTGATGGCTCTGTTCCTGCCAAAATCATGACGAAATAAATTATGAACCATTTGTGATATGTTAAAAATACTTTTATTATATCTGTTTATCTGTGTTTTAATTATATTAAAATTTTTAGGGTCCCGGACCTCATAGGAAAAAAACGGTACCCTTATAGGATCACTTTGTTGTCCCTCCGTCTGTCTGTCAAGATCCTTTTTATATTCCTTACCTGTCTACAGTAAATGTCAATATTACATTGATTATGGTAAAAATAGTATACGAATAGTACTGCTTTTGATCGTTGTAATTTCCTAATTGTTAAAATCTATTTTAAAAGTTTCACTGCTACTATAAAATAATCAAGTCCATAAGGCATTCTAAATGCAGTTCCTCTGGCTCCTGGCTTTCGACAATCACTTGATATTTAGGATATTTTTACTTGTTTGCCACCATTCATATAAAGGTCAGACACATACATAGAGTTCACTGAGTTTGTTGCCTAAATATGTAGACGAAAAATATAGGCACGGTATAAATCTTGCCTTGCCTTTTGACAAAGTCTGCTTTCTGAATATATAAAATGGGCAGAAAATTGGTGTACCTAGATAATGGTACGATTTAGTCATCATACAAATAAATGAGAAATCACAAATGTATGAAAAATTATAGCCATTTCAGAATAAATGCGCTAATTAATTGCGGTGTACCCCAGGGTAATGTATTAGGACCAATGTTATTTTCGTATTCTGTGGAACCTTAACTAATAATTGTAAAATGTAAAGAAACAAACTCATGAAAAATATAATCTTGAAATAAACCAAAACTTATACTTACGTAAAAATGTAAAGTTTTATTATCTACCATTTTTTTTTTAAACTTGACAATTGGAAACCATGAAACAATATACAGAATACATATAATAGAATATTGTGTACGAATCTTTCAAAAAACAATTAATTAACCTTATGAAATATTTCTTAATATTTTGCAATAACCATAATAGCCAGAAATCTCTCGTACCTAACATTTACCTAAGGCTTACCTTTTGTCACGTATAACCAACTTAAAAGGAACTGCGCGCTGGAGATGTATTCTTGATTGATGTATTAAAACTGAATAGATAAAGAGTTTAACGTATATTTGTTGAAATATTGTTGTTTAATTTACTATACATTTAAAGATATACAACATGATCTCTATGAATCTTACTTGATAACATTTAGTAGCGGTTAGTTATTCTTATGTGATATTGTAAAGAAGAAGAAAAAATAATTTTTGATCCAGAAAGATAATAAAAATGACTGTAGTTAATATCAAAGAAGTAGACAATATTGGTAAGTAACATCTTCTTAGTATTTGTTTTGTTGTGTTGTATTCTGTGTGGTCGTGGTATTTCACCGGGCGAGCCGGGCCGATTCGTGTGAAGATGTTAAAGCGGGCTCTACCACTGTTAAAATTTATAATATTAGCAAGATTAGCAAGATATTCTAAATCAATGAATGAGTGTACTGTTTATCTCGAATTGTTTTGATTTAGCCAAATATGTGTGTCAGATATATTTTAGTGACTAAAGCTTCAAATAATTATTCAGGCGTGATTATTATTTCATAGCAAAATGTGTTTGAATTGAAATGTACTAAGAATAGAAGAGTATTTACGAGTTAATAAATTACATTTTATTATAGTTATATTTAATGGCCTTTTGTGTTTGCGATTTTCCTTATAAATGCAAACTAGTAGTATTATTGATTCATATAGTATCAGCACAATCAATAATTAGCACAAAATTATCATTTTATTTATCCATGTCAGATCAATCGAAAGCGTTTATAGGTAAAATTTTCCTAAACTGTATTTTTTAATAGGCAATATGTGACAAGTTAAACAATATTCCTGTAGATGTGATGACGAATCCATCGAGCGCTTGGTGGTGCAGGGGAAAGTTGAGGGCAACAGACCACAAGGAAGATCGCCTATGAGGTGAACCGACCAAATCAGAGCGGCTGTGAATGTCCCCCTGCACCAATGTACAAAACAGGCAGTGACTAGGGAGGAGTGGCGGCGCCTGGTAAAGCGGGTCACTGATACGTGATTACCACGACCAGTCTGACAAGACTGTAACGACGGAGAAGAGAAGAAGAAGAAACAATATTCCTGATCTGCACTTGTTTTTCCTTTTGTAAAATTTTAATGCTCGTTCTAATTTTAAAATTGGTTGCAGAAAATGATCATCAAGATTCCAATACAATAACATCGATGCAAGAAATTGATTTAGCTCTTAAAGAATGTGGTATAGGTTGGTTTCATGTGTTATTATTGACGTCGTCAATCATTGGATTGATAGCTGGAATACTGGTGACAAATACAACACCTTATATATTACCAATAGCAGAATGTGATTTAAACATGAGTTTGTTACAAAAGGGATTGTTAAACGCAATGCCATACATAGGTAAGTGTTTGATATTGTATTTTGTTCTTTAGCATTTTCATTAAATGTTTAAATTTATAATTTTTAAATGATAATTTTAGGCATGACACTAGTATCAATTTTGGTTGGTTTTCTGACTGATACCTTTGGACGGAAAATATTTCTGGTCTCCGGTTTTTGTGGGCTATTCCTCTTTACTGTTGTTGGTGGATCAAGTCAAAGCTATGAAGTTCTGGTTGTGGCGAAATTCTTCGAAGGAGTTTTGTAAGTTTACATTTATTGTTAAATTATAATTTTAATCTTAACATGACTTTCATAATTCTAGTTTTGTGTATGCCTAAAATGCCAGGCGGCAGGGGTTATATAAAATGAATTATTGCTAAAAGTGCTAGATCCGATAAACGATGTTTCGACTAAATTCAATGTGCAGACAAAATAGTTGTCATGTGTGTTATCAACTTACAACTATTTATGATGTACATTGTCATCTTATTTTGATTGTTTTGTTGTAAGAATCGTTTTCAATTGTTTTGTCATGACTGTACTTAAATTTTCCACTAGTTTATAAAATTATGGTATTCAGTATACATACTGCTTTCTTTTGGAGAATCCAAGTTTCGAGTTTAAATTTTAATAGCGGAAGAGGCCGCAACATCTATTGCAGAAATAGGCCGGCCCGGTGCATACCACCATCACGCAGAAGTCGTATTATTTGTTAATTAGGTTAGGTTAGTAGGCAACGCATCTGCAAGTGCGTATGTTTATTGGCAGTGATAACTGCTTCCCCAATACCCGAAATATATCAGAGAAAATTCCTTTGTTGAAGTATTTTTATTACACAATGTTGCAGCAAATAAATGTTAAATTTTCTTATATAATTACGTCAAGAACATGACAAACAATAATGGTTGTTTATCAATTTCCTCATCCATAAACAAAGTTTAGTAATTATGTAAATTTATTATCTTTTGTATTTGTATAAGGTTTCAAGTGTACTACGTATTATATTTGTAAATTACAATGTCATATAGATATATTTTAGACTAACGGTGGCCCACGTCTTCGTCCTTCGAATAAAATAGTCTCTGCTAGTAGTAGTTTCAAAGATTACTCAAAACAAACGCGGATTTGTTGACAGACAGATAAGAAATTTAAATTTTTATATACGTTAGAATAGAAACACCATGTTCGGATATCTTTTTTTAAATATCAACTCCAATTTTATTGATTGTTTTTTTATATCATAAGATGGCAAACGAGCGAGCGGTCACCTGAAATAGCTGATATAGCGAAGTGACCGTTGCCCATAGACATACGCAATTGCATATACGTTGCCTACCTTTAATCGACGGAGGAGAGGATGCACAGAAAAAAAATTATTCGTAATTGAGTCGTATATAAACATATTCGTTTGTGCATAGTAGCATTGTTTTTGTTCCAATTTACATCAACAAATTCTATATATCCCTACGGTATTGGATTATACAGGTCTAAAAATACAACAATGTGTGTCAACGGAATCAAAGGGATTAGCTCCGTTCCCTTCCAGTTTATCTCTTTATCCATTTATTGTGCAAATGTTTACGACGGTATACGGCTAATCAATAGGGACATGGAACACTTACACATGCAGAAGTACACACGAGACGCCAGCTAGACTGAAAATTGTACTATTATGTAGATTATCCTTGGTAATAAACTTTTACAATATAGGTAAATCCTACGCAGTACAATTGAAATACGATTTATCTAGGTGAATTCAATATTTAAATACTAGCAGTTGTCCGCGACTCCGTCCGCGCCGAGTAAATAAAAAAGTTATTGTCGTAGCTTATGTGTTCCAGACTATGTTCTACATGTGTGCCAAACTTCATAAAGTTCCATTGAGTCGTTCCGGAGATAATTTTAAACAAACATTCATCCATACATTCATCTAAACTTTTGCATTTATAATTAGTGAGATTTTTTTGCTCTTGTTGCGTCTTAAAGAAGAAACAAGACCAGCCATTTGTGATGTTGTTCTTTCCTTCAATTTTTTGAAGATGACAAGAATTGAAACTCAAAAGATTGACCCTTTTCAAGGTTAAAAGTTAACTAAATTGAAAACTCAATTATAAATCCTTAAAACGTTCAAAAATGTATTCACTAACCAAATACATTAAAAGCGATCTTTCACTAATAATATTCAAAACTGAGCCTACTATGCGATTAAAATTAACGCAGCGTTCAATCGGAAAGGATTAATGGAACCAAAGCTTTGTTTGCATTGAGTCCATGGGTTAATGCCTATCTGTGCAAATGCTCATAAGCTCTGCGCTCTCTGCAGTTGTAATTTTGTCGATCGAGCGACTAAATATTTAGTGGTACCTGGCAAGTATTTATATCTCGATTCCTGTATTTTAATACATATGTAACCTAACCTCTTTTTTTATAATAAAATATTAGCAGATTTTTTTGTAAGTTTACTAATATTTCTTTAACCATTCGAACTAAGCTCTAGGCTTGTGCTAGGATATGGTTTACGACAGTAGTCGAATGGCGGGATTCGAACCCTCGACTTCGTGGTCGGAAATCCGTACCCTTAACCAGTAGGCTATTGACGCTTTTTTAACTTTCTTTACTTTGAATTGTTAACGTATATATATTTTTTAATTTTATCTACATGAGTTAACGACAAATTAGAAATTGTACTCGTATCTTTAAGAGCAAAATTTTAACTGCTACTACTCTTCAGATTCGCAGTGTCGTTCGGTCCAAATTTAACGATGACTTCTGAGTTTTGCTACAAGGAGATTAGAGACCGGGTGATATTGTTCAGATCTTCGTTCAAAGCGGTCGCTCAGATTATTGTTGCCGCGATGTCTTGGGGCATACTCTCACATGATTGGAACTTAAGTTTATTTAATGGATTTTTAGGTAAGTAATTTTTTTTTAAAATAATATGTATTAGTCCCATTTAATTAATGTTATGCTATGAAAATTTATAGCAATGTAAATCTTCCTAATACCATACCGTGGAAGGCATTGGAGAAAGCCTATTTTCAGTAATGGGAAGACAGAGGCTGAGAACAATGATATATTTCTAAAGCTCCCTACACACTAAGGTATATTCATATTACTTTTCACGGTATGACAGTAACCGATAAGGATACTGTGTACCCGACTTTATTACCTCACGGGTTGTTACTACTTTATCTTAAAACAGATTGGTCTCGTAGTATTATATATTTTGAATTAAAGTAGCAAAACTTTTAAGAAATTTCCCTTACTACAATAATAACATAACTCACGCCCGTAACCTAGAGGGGTAGGCAGAGTTCACGAAACTTCTTTACTTACCACACACAGTTTACTTTGATAATTAAATCTATTTTTTTTATTTTACAGATCTTCATATTTGGAATATTTACATTTACTTTATGTCCATATGGTCATTAGTTTCATTCGTTTTATATCTCTTTTTACCTGAGAGTCCGAAATTTTATATAACCCAAAATAAATTCACAGAAGCAAAACATGTGATATTTAAAATATACACAATGAATACAGGAAAACCCGTTGAAACTTTTAAGGTAAGAAATTTAAGCTTTTCAACATATTTTGAATGAGGTTTATTTATTTTATCTTCTATTAATAAAACATGAGCCAAATAAACATTTACTTACACTTGTAATAAATATTAACAATGCCCGGGACTTCGTCCGCGTGTCTGTGACTTCAGGTCGTATTTTAATGTCTAAATATCGAACGTTAGTAATATTAAAAACTTCAGCTATTTAATCGAGCTTAAAATATATATAAATAGATATTTTGAAAAAAAAATGTATAAAAAACTGAAATATAAACGGCTAAACAATTATATTCGTCCGGTGGCGGCACCGACTAGTTTCGAGCCGATCGGGGGCCGTTCATCAGGGTGAGTAGGACTGATATTTTCGCGGACGCGGCCCGTCGCTCACTCAAAATGTATAAAATTACTAGCTGTCGCCCGCAACTCCGTCTGCGCGGGATTAAAAAATAGATAGAAATCGGTCTAACCGTTTCGGACCAGTATGGTAATTAACATTGTGACACGAGAATTTAATATCTTACTAAAATTATAAATGCTAATGTTTAGATGGACGGATTTTGTTGGAAGGTATCTCCATCAACCATACCAACCATCAACATATAGAACATAGTCTGAAAGAACACATAGGCTAATTATGTTTTTTTTAATTCCACGCGTACGGTTTCGCTAGCGATAGTTACTATACGATAAATCAAATAATTTAAATCGCAACTTTTGATATTCATATCACGATATCATTCTATCATATCTTTACCGTGATTGTAGATAGATTGTAATAGAGTTCACGATTGGAATTCTTGTCTTTTTCAATCTCTTTCCATTGGCAGCGTTTAATATATAAACCTCTTACATAATTCAGAGCACGACATCGCGTATCGTATTTAGAAGAACTTGCGACATAGAATACCACATTATTTATGTAACGTTGTCACAAAAGGCTTTGCGAAAGGTCAAATGAAGGGATATAGCAGAATATTCTTATAAGATTCTTTTATAGCCGATGCCATGATGTGACGCTTACTCTGATATTATGTTTTCCTGGTTATAGTAATGCATTTAGCTATAATATTTATAACAACGTATATTATTAATCTTACTCACGCACGATAAATTTACAAGGAAGAATGTAAAAAAAGTTAATCACTTGTCAAAACAAATTAAGCATCTAAAAGGCTATTAAATTTAGCTTTGTAACTAAAATAACAGAGCTGAATGCCTAACAATTTATCTTTTTAAACTTAGATGTTCAAATATTTTATAGCTCACTAGCTGACGCCCGCGACTCCACGGAATTAGAAAAAAGTAGGCTACTAGCGTCCTGGGTTCGAATCCCGCCATGTACCAATGTGTTTTTCGAATTCCGATTTACTTTCTAACGATAAAGGAAAACATCGTCATGCAACCAGCACATATCTGAGAAGAAATTCAGGGTAGATTCCGAGCCCGTCTCTGGGGACGTATAGTGAGCTGATGATGACCCTACTAGCCTATGTGTTCTTCCAGAGTATGTTCTACGTCTATGTCAAATTTCAACGAGTTCTATGGAGCCGTTTTGGAGTTACTTCCTAACAAAAATTCATCTGTACATTCGCATTTATAATATTAGTACGAAAAAATTTAATAATTCTGGACTAATAATTGTCATTTTAACAGTATTTTAATTTATGGAAGAATAAAGAAAACGATATTATAGACCAAGAGCCAAAGAGAAAAGTGAAGATAACTCTTAAACAACAATTGTTAGTTGGACTACACAACGTGAAGCCAATGTTTAAACCGCCATTGGTTAGCTATCTCGTTATAATATCTGGTATGAACTTCTTAAGCTTGGGTTTGTAAGTATTTTTAATCTATAATATTTGGTAAATCATACGAGTAAGCAACACTGTATACAACTTTTTAAGGATTTGTGAATGAACAGTGAAACATACCGTTAAAGTTAATATAGAGACGAAGAGCAAATTTTAATCAAAAATCAAAAAGAATTCTTTAAATATATGTATTATGGTCGAATTTCGAACGATGAGTACAATAGTATTTATTAAAGCCGCAAACTAAAATACACGAATTTCCCCTTAATTGTACCAAATTCATCGGTTTTACAATTAAGTCACCGCAATGTAGCATCATTATCGTCATAAATTCAAGATAGTTTATATTTCGTATACTTTATTATTTGACTAGCTGTCGCATGCGACTTCGTCCGCGCGGGATTGAAAAAAAAATCTTAATTAGTAGCCGATGTCTTCCATTCTACGTCCAATTTTAGCAAGATCCATGCAACTTTTCTGGAGATATCTTCAAAGAAACATCCATAACACAAACATTCGCGTTTATAATATTAAAATAAGTAAGATATTGTTATTTGTAAATGTAATATATTTCTCGTCATAAATTATATTAAAAACAAAAGGATGTTGATTATAATAACGTGCATTTAGATTAATTGATACACGTATACATAAAGATCTGATATTGTTAAAATTTGACTTCTTTATTTAGCATTGAAAAAATAAAATCGATAAAATTTTACTTATTGAAGCTATTTATTAAAATTATTCAGTAAATTACAGTAAATTAATACATCGATGTAACGTGACAATATAGATTGATGAAAATTTAAATGCAATTCTCGAAATCCTTTACATGAATTTTCGGTTTCAATGAATTCAAATTATACAACTCATTCAACGTAATACAATGTTACACGAATATTTAACAGAGCAAATTTTTACATTTAATTAAAAATATATTAACAACACAGACAAGCTTCCAGCAAAACTATACACAAACCGTTCCCGTGAACTTCTATCCACATGAAGTTCTATTTTTGCGTCACAGAATAACTTTGTTTTATTGTTTAGACTAGCTTTCGCCCGCGACTCCGTCCGCGCGGAATTAAAAAAACTTAGTAGCCTATGTGTTCTTCCAGACTTTGTTCTACATCTATGCCAAATTTCAGCGAGATCCGTTCAGCCGTTCTGGAAATATAACATAATACTTTTAAAGAAACCTCCACGCATCCATCTAAACATTCGCATTTATAATATTAGTAAGATGTAATATTGCATTAAACTTTCAATAGCTAATGTCAGATGTCAAAATTCATATGTTTCAATGCCAACGAAGGCCTTCGCTGTTGGCAAGGAAATACCGTTACCACGGCAACCATCTATGCTGCTATTAGCTAGCAATTTTTGTCCCTTTTTCGCAGATTATTTTTTTAATTTAAAGTACGCGTAGGCCACACCGCGCGCACGGCCCCTAAAAGATTTTAGTGTGCTTTGTATGATTTTACATAGCCCTGCGCCAATTATCGCGCCACCCACAACGAAAGCAAAATCCGTGTAATCCGTCCCGCGTGAGCCAATGGACGCGTACCTTTATTCACCTCCTAACTTTAACTAACTTCAAAAAGAAAGATATCAATTCGTCTGTATGTTCTTTTACGTGTATTACCGCGTAACTCCGTCTCCGGTGCTCCGATTTTAATTTTTTTTTTCGATCGAAAGAAAGGTTTTGCTTGCAGGTGGCTCCCATTTTTTTATTAATTTTTAAACTGACTAGAAGTTTAGTAGATTTTAAGTTTAATTTGAAAATGCATTATTCCAAAAAAAAAAAATTATGCTGTCATTGTTACGATCCTGTGTCACAAAGAAGTGTGTGTTTACAATTTATACGAGTATAAATCCTTTCCAGTTACAACATAATAAGGTTATGGTTCCCACAGCTGTCGACCATTGTCGAACATTACAGTAATTTCAATGGTGAAAATAATTTGTGTGATATATTGGATACGTATACACATAATTTGAATATGAAAGTAAATACAACATTATCTGAAGTTTGTGTACCGGTAAGTAAATAAATTCTTTATCTGTCAACAGCATTTGCGAAATTGCATTCGTACATAATGTATAATTATATACCAACTGGTTTTCAATTCAGAGAGAGCTTACCATTTTCTAATAGAAGTAATCTAGCTATATTATTTAAAAAGTAGTAGCTGATGCACATCGCCCGAATCTGTCTGTTTGAAATATTAAAAAAAACATAATTAATAGCCTATGTGTTCTTCCAGACTATGTCCTATATGCAGGCCAAATTTCAACGAGATCCATTTAGCCGTTCATATATAATATTAGTAAGAAATAAGATGAGTTACGAATAAGCATTCAGAGAAAATTTTTTACGTTTCTGTTTGTTCCCTACTCTACACAGAGCAAAGAGATTTCATTACGAAAATAAGGACTTGAGCGAAAAATTTAATTCATTTGTTTTTGATTTCAGACACGCAGTGGTGATGAAACTTACATCAACAGTATGATTTTAGGCTGCGTTTGCATTATACCGTTTGCATTAAGTGGTATTCTAGTGAACAAAGTCGGTAAGAAGAATTTATTCATAGCTGGCGGTTTTATATGCGTTGGTGTTACTTTGGGTATAAGATGGGCGAACTCGAAATTTTCTGTGGTCGCATTATTCTCCGTAGATGTCGCTGTATTACAAACCTTGACAGGTTTATTCCAAGCTTCGACAGTTGAACTATTTCCGACAAGCATGAGGTAAGATTATGTTAATTATGTTTTTAAATTATTTTATTTATGTATTACATGAAAAAGTATGTTTAGTTCAACTATATTCTACTATACAGGTAGACGTACGAAATTCTTTACTAATCCTAATTTAGTTTAAGATTTTGTGGGAACGTACAGGAAGGAGAAGTATACTCTTTTTATGCGTCTCCTCCTCTTACGAATAAAGGTCGGCAACGCATCTGTACTTACGGTTGTCTATGGGCAGTGGTCGCTTGCTACCTTCCTACTTGCAAAATATTGTTCTAAAATCTTATTTGGTGATTAAGTAATCTGCTATTACTTCTTAAACTTTTTAAGATTATTACGATCATAGTATTTTTTTTTCTAAAAATGCTGGAGAATTATCTTGACCTTTATTCGTACGGATGAAACCCATTTAAGCTATGGAGAGAATCTAATATTAGAAACTTTATTTCTGCTTCGTACGTCAACATAAAAGTTCTCCTGACATATAAAATATTTGTTTTTCATTAAAACCTGTTCTCAAAGAACGACAGACTTTTTAAACGAGTATAAATATTTAAGATATCACTAGGCTTGTCTTTTTTTAAAGTTTCGTCCGTACTTAAATCAGGGAAACTCCGAGCTAAGTAAATTAATTTGTACTTTCTTTCCTTATACATTTTTCATTCCTAATCTTTTGTGTTTATCTATTTTTTCTTTTATAAAGTGGCAAGCGTGTAAGCGGCCACCTAAATTCTCCTAAATAGTGATCCGATCGCCGTTACACATCCGCATTTGAAGACGCGTTGTCTACTTTAATCGTCTTACAAGAGGACGCACAGGAAGAGAATATTTCTCCTTCCTATGGGTTCACTCCATCTTCAAATCTACTTCTTCTTGTCTTTTCTTTTAGCTCTGTTTTGACTAGTAATTATAGGGATGACGATATATTTTTCACAGAACTCTTGCGATCGCCGTGATTATGACTTTGGGACGTATTGGCACTCTGGTTGGCAATGTGGCATTCCCTATACTACTTAACCTGGGCTGCAGTGTACCGTTCTACTCTCTAACTTCTGTAATGATATGTAAGCAGTTCAACTTATATAAGCCGTTTGTACGAGTGCGTTGGTGGCTCAGTGGTCAAGCACTTGACTTGCAATCTGCATGTCCTGGGTTCGAATCCCGCCATGTACCAATGTGTTTTTCGATTTCCGATTTACATATGTACATTTATCCGACGTTCTTACGGTGAAGGAAAACATCGTGTTGCAACCTGCACATATCTGAGAAGTAATTCAAAGATATGTGTGAAGTCAACCAAGCCGCACTTGGCCAGCGTGTTTGACTAAGGCCTAATCACCCTTAACTTAGGGTAGGCTACGATTCCCTCGGTGGGGACGTATAGTGAGCTGATGATGAAGCCGTTTGTACAAATCTAAATAGAATTTTTAACTGTTACCAATCTTATTCTTTCCAGGTGTAACAGTAATGGCTCTGCTTCTTCCGAAATCATGAGAAGTTATCATCTTCACAACTTCTTTTTAATATTATATAGCGGCAAAAAAGCCACATGACTTCAAATCGAAATGTCAAAACGAAGCAACTGCTGCGTAATTTGTTATTGCTCAATTGTAAATTGAAATTAAATGACATAATTTTTATTCTTTCTTTATTTTTAAATTAATTTTATTAATGAATGATTGAAATCCAAAAATAATTACTACATACAATGGATAAATTTCTTTAGTATTGATAAGAATTGGTATTAATATTTATTCCTTTCGATACCCGGGAATGTTTGACAGACGGCATTAGGGGCCGAGTTAAAGGAATCTCTGGTGTTGACATCGACCGGTACAAGCTCCTTACATTGAAAAGGGTTAACGCTTACGGATGTTTGTTATCAGTTTGCACGTATTGTGTTTGATATATTTCAACAAATTGTAAATATAAGATTTAAATCTGCAATGTTATTAATATTATAAATTCAAATGTTTGGAAAGATGTATGTTTGTTTGAGGATCCGGAACGGCTCAAAGGATCTCGCTGAAATTTGGCATAGATGTACAAGAACATAGCCTAGAAGAACACATAGGCTACTTATTATTTTTTTAGATCCGCGAGTACGAAATAGCAGGTGACTAAAGTTTCTAAAATAAAATGAAACGAAATGAAATTAAATGAAACGAAATGAAATAACAGATAATAGAATATAATAGTGTATTACAGCTACATCAATGGGATCTAAAGGGTAAAATGATGGGTTGTATATGCGAGTCAATACTTAAACCTCTACCTAGTAAGGTAGCTCTTAAAATGTTGCATAACTCTTAGTATTATAAATGATATTAAAAAGAGTAAAACAAATGTTTTTAATGTTTATTTTTCAAAGTATAATAGAGGAAGGAAAATGAAGGAAATACCTATAAATCAGTAAACTTTTGTTACATTTTAATGAAAGTTATACGCTGGCTATTGTCCTACGCGTAATTACATTTTTAATGACTGAATTCATTAGGCTATCAGCCATTTAATCTATTTTAATTATTAACCCTACTATTGTTTTAATTTAAATTATGTTATACTCTTAATTATTAGAATTTAAAATCAACTCTTACCAAATACAGAACTTCGGTGGCTCAGTGCTTAAAGCACTTGAATTTTAATCTGTAGATCTTGGCTTCGAATCCCGCCATGTCACAATGTGTTTTTCGATTTACATATGTACATTTATCCGACGTTCTTACGATGAAGGAAAACATCGTGATGAATATTTGAGGATTGCCTCAAATATTCAACGATATGTGTTATGTCAATCAACCAGCCAGCGTGGTTGACTAAGGCCTAGTCTCCGCAGACTTAGGGCTCCGAGTCTCCTAGGAGCCTCTCGATAGTCCTAAGTGGGGACGTATAGTGTTGATAATGACAATCAACTATTAAAATTATTCAAAGAAATAATATTAATATCCTACTAGTGATGTAAAATATAAAATACTACCGTTCTCCTTAATATTACCAAGATAGTGTTAGAAAAGGTCAGATTTTAATATCTATTAGACTATTAAACCTTCTATCGAGGTTGGTAAGACTAGAAATAATATTTCAGATCTCCAATAACGTTCTTCGTTACACCACACAGAGACATGTGTACTACATTGAGATATTGTGCAACCGCTGACCTATTTTTTCTCCCAAGTACGCTTGGCACTAAATAAAGTCGCTGTAGTGGTTTCGGTGTTTTTTTTGTTTTATCTTTAAAAGAAGCTTTAAAATATGCAATGCTTCCAATTTTGCATAAAATTAATCGCTTAATTTGAACACGTAGCCAAATTAGTCTAGGCTGCTAAAAGGGAATAAAAGCTTGAGAGTTAACTCGACGGTTTCTTTTAAATTTTACTTAGCTTTTAGAAGAAACTTAGACGACAGAATCTTCAGTAAAATAATTGAATCCATCTTACTCCTTACTAACATTATAAAAGAAAGTGTTTGGATGTATGAATGTTTGTTTGAAGGTATCTCCAAAACGGCTGCATTGAACTCATTGAAATTTGATATACTCGTAGATGTAAAACATAGTCTGGACGAACAAAAATTTGTTAACTTTTTTTTTCCGCACGCACGTAGTCGCGGTCGACAGCTACTCATTTAATAAGGCATTTGTCACACCTTTTAACTTTTCAGTTACTTAAGCACTAATCTGAAAAATAATTATGTCAGAGTTAGGGATTTTTAGAGAAACAATTATCCAGCACCTAAGATGGATCCAGTAAAAATAATTGCAAGGATAAAGAAAGTATAGAAGTGGAATTTATTTTCAAGTTCTAAGCGCCAAGATAGGTATTGTTCTAATGCGTTGAAGTGAACGAGACTGATGATCGGCCATTGTTTTTTGGATTTTATTATTCCTCAGGAAAGTTTCTCGTTATTGTTCCAAATGTACGAGTAAGGAAGTGGAACATTTTTTGCTCGACCGTCATTATGTTTGTTTGGCTTTATTTGTTTGTTTACAAAATGGATTATCATCGTGATTATAACAATCGTCAGTCTTAATAGTCCACTGTTAACCTTTTCCACCATAGCTTTTACACGAATATTAGTAAAAACTAATGTGAACTGACACATAGTATCGATAATAAAGGCCTAATTTTTTTATCAAAGAAAAGGGGGTAAACGAGCTGCGGGAACACCGAGGTGTTCAACAACGCCCATGAACATTAGCAATACCAGAGGAACCGCAGATGCGTTGCCGGCCTTTGAGGTGGTGATACGCTCGCATCTTGAAGGATCCTAAGTCGTAGCGGTTTGGTAAGACCGCCGATAATTAATTTTAGTCTCTTTTCTCTTCCTTTCCATGAAAAGAAAGTGTTTGTAACGTAGAGCATAGGGAAGGGAAAAATTATATTTCTTTACATCTTATCCTCCGTCGACTAAAGATAGGCATCGCATTTACAATTGCGAAAACCTACAGGCAAACGTAGCTTCTCTTTTTCGGCGAATTAAAATAGCCGCTTGTTCGATTGACACCTAATACTATAAAAAAGGGACTCAAATTTCATCGAGATCCGTTCAGCCGTTCTGGAGATAACTTCAAACAAACATCCATCCATCAAAACATACGCATTTATAATATTAGTATGATTAAATTTCACTTGTTTAAATTATAATAAGGTGTTACAATTACGATATCAGAATACATAGCAAAAGAAAAAGGGTACGATTTATGTTACGTATTAAAAATGCAAATCAGACCGTTATAAGTATTCCCTGTTAAAATTATTTAATTAATTCAAATATAATTATAACGCCCAATCTGAATACTAAATGAATAATTGATGCTTCAGAATACGTGTACATATTTCTTAATTTTAAATACACTTTTTCATACACTCAGTTGTAAAAGAAATAAAATTAAATATCACGCGCTGTGTAAAACAAACTGATCGATACAATGAGGTGGTTAAAAAAGTATAGCAAATGTGTAAATTTATTTTCACAAAGAAAAGTTTATTTAAATTAAAGAAGCACTAAAAAGACAATTAGCCATAAAATGTTTTTATTTTAAATATTTGCAGATTTTTGTTAATTGATATATAGGGGGACGTCTACTGCTGCTCTGACCTGGTCTGTCTATTTCATATGGGATCTACCTCGTGCCTTAGTGCCTTCCATTTTTCCCTGGACTAATTGTCCAATACATCATTACTGCGTCTACGTATGTCACCCAAGTGGGTGAAAGTACGAGGATGGATAATTGAAGAAAGGCTAAGGAATTCTTAAGGAATACAGTATAGATGAATAGATAAAGCAATGCTTAGGTACACAGCTTATGTATTAATTTACCTGTTTGTATGTATATAGAGAGCTTACAGAAAGGTTAATAATTCAAGGCGCATTATGTCATACAATAACCCTTTGTGAATTAATCCGAATAACGATGGAACGGACTTATCGCCTATCAAAGCAACTAACTCCGATATCAAATTAATATATAAATAAAAATAGCTATAAGTAGGAAATGAAGCTATTTTCGTACTTCTATTGGATATTTTCAGTTGTCGTATCCATTCTTATATTTTATTTATAGTAAGGGAAAAACGAATTACGAATTATTACATATTATTCAGGAACAGATGAAAGGGAAAAGAACTCCAGGAACATCTCGGTTGAAAAATCTTTGCCTATTACGGCGTGACTTATGTAGAGTTCAATTTGCTATGATGATGGCCGATCTTCTTTATGAAAATGGCACCTAAAGAAGAAGGTAAAAACAGCTTCTCAGTCCCATGATTCATTTATGAATTTCTTGATTACATTTAAAACAAACACTATTTAAAATAGAAAATTAACTATAGAATTTTTTTGCTACAAAACAATGTCGTATGTTATGTTATTTATTATATATAAATACAATTACCAAGTACATATTTAACCAAAAGATTGAAAACAATAATGTCCGTAAGAGTGAGTTTGAATGGTTTCAAGTTTCCAAACTAAGGAAACTTCATTTCAATTAGGAAAACAATTCCGCAATTTGTTTGTTACGGAAACTTTCTAAAGGAATCTTCCCCAAATTCGTCGCTTAGCAAACAAAACAATCGATTCGTTTAAGAGTTAATAACCGGATGTAATGTATCTCTGTCCTCTTTTAATTAGTATGTCTCTTTCCCACTCGTTACTATAGAACATAGTTCACTTAATTTAATTTGTATGTAGTTAGCTTTTGATCATTAAACTGCAACTTCTAGTTCAGTAAGGGAGCCTCTTAGTATAGATTGCATATATAGGATGTCCCAAATGGTTACGTACATAGGAAGGGGGATGATAGGGGTGGTCACAAGGGTCACCAGAAGAATAAAATAAAAATTCCCCTCTGGGTATAAAAAAATAAATAGCATTTTTTAAAAACTTAAAAAATTTACACCTTCTTTCAGAGGGGAATTTTTATTTAATTTTCCCCCATCTCCCTTCCTATGTACGTAACCTTTTGGGACATCCTGTATATATAATAGTGTAAATATGTACTATTATACAGGTATGACCATGTATCACTAGCTGTCACCCTTAACTCCGTCCACGCGGAAATAAAAAACTGAGTAGCCTATATGTTCTTCCAGATGATGTTCTACATCTATGCCAAATTTCAGCGAGATCCATGCAGCCGTTCTGGATATACCTTCTTACAAACATTCACCCATCTAAGCATTCGCATTTATTATATTAGTAAGATGTCACAAAGATGTGATATTGTAGGATTTCATATATTACTATGTGTACAGATATGTTTCAATATAACGCAATATTCGAATACAATATAATCATCATCATCAGCTCACTATACGTCCCCACCGAGGGGCTCGGAGCCTACCCTAAGTTAAGGGTGACTAGGCCATAGTCAACCACGCTGGCCAAGTGCGGGTTGGTTTACTTCACACATATCTTTGAATTTCTTCACGGATATGTGCAGGTTGCATCACGATGTTTTCCTTCACCGTAAGAACGTCGGATAAATGTACATATGTAAATCGAAAAACACATTGGTACATGGCGGGATTCGAACCCAGGACCTGCAGATTACAAGTCAAGTGCTGAAACCACTGAGCCACCGACGCTCTCAATACAATACAATATAAATTATCATGATAAAGTAATGGAAAATAATGAAACAGCTAACAATGGCCGGTCAGCGCGTGAAGATTGAGAATTGAATCGGAAAATCCCTAGAGGATATGCTTGATCGATGACTTTAATAATAAACTCACACTTCGCCTTAAAAGCTTACCCACACTACTACGCAATACATATTACTTATACACACTATTACAACCAATGACGTCATAACAGCGATATCGTGCAGTATTCCAAAAAGGTCCTAATATTATTAATGCGAATATTTGAACGGGTGGATGAATGTTTGTTAGAAGGTATCTCCTGAACAGCTATATAGATCTCATGGAAATTTAACATAGATGTAGATCATAGCATGGAAGAACACTTGGGCTACTAATTTACTTTTTAATTCTTCGCGGACGGAATCGCGGGCGACAGTCAAGGAATAAAATAGTGACAATATTATTAATGTTATGTCTCTTTCTTTCACTGTATAGACAAGGATGGAAGATGTGACTGGGCGTATGTCAGATGTTTCGAGATGTTATCGTGAATGATTTGTAATTAGGAAGAATATACCCTTTTTTTCAAGGAAAATAAGAAAAATAGATTTAAATTATTTCAACTTTCGTGAGACATTATGATAAACTTATAAAAAAACGGCTAAACAATCACGTATATTCGTCCGGTGGCGGCACCAATTAGTTTCGAGCCCATCGGGAGCCCTTCTTCAGGGTGAGTGGGCCCCCGATGAGTGGGTGAGAGGGCCCCCGATAGACTCGTAACTAGTCGGTGCCGCCACCGGACGAATATACGTAAGTGTTTAGCCGTTTTTTATAAGTAAATCGATTTAAATTTGATAATGAGAAAAAAATGTTTAAATTTCCTACTCTAAAATGGGAAAAAATAGTAATTGAAAAGCACCATTTCCAACATGTTGTTGATATATTTTTCTTTCGTTTTCCCTCAGACGTTAGTAAAACATTGTCGAGCGCTGGCCCAGTTTGTTTTTTTCAAGCGCTCCCGTTACTAAGTAAACTCGGTTTCAAATGTTTTTAGTATCATTTACTAGGAGCAAATAACAATCTGAAATCGCTGCGCCGTAACTTTTTGTACACTAGGTAACTAAACTTACGAATCTATTTCAGGAACCTTCGATATAATATTTACATAATCATCATATCATCATCATCATCAGCTATACGTCCCCACCGAGGGGCTCGAGCCTACCCTAAGTTATGGGTGATTAGGCAAAAGTCAACGACGCTGGCCAAGTGCGGGTTGACTTCAAACATATCTCTGAATTTCTTGTTAGATATGTGCAGGTTGCATCACGATGTTTTCCTTCACCGTAAGAACATAGGATAAATGTACATAAGGAAATCTAAAAACACATTGGTACATGGCGGGATTCGAACCGAGGACCTGCAGATTGCAAATCAAGTTGACCCCTGAACCACCGACGATTTGTATAAAGTCCCTTATAAATAAGTCAATTGAGAAGACATTTCATTCACAGAATAGACAATGTAAGTATAAAATACTGACAATTTGAATCATGTCACCTCTTATCAGAAGGGCGTAGTACGTATAGTATTTGTTAGTGTACTTTACGCCCGGAAGGGGCGCTGCACAAATTTTATTACAAATGATGTCGATGATATTGCGAAAACGTTCTCACAAATATTCGTGCCCTCTGGTGAAATATTACATTTGTCAGCTTATAATCTAATGACTTTAGAAGCTGACGGATTGTAAACTGAATTTATTAAACATTTAACGTGAAATAAGACTTTATAAGCTATTATGATAAAAATCCGTTAAATAATAAAGAATAAAAAAAAAAATGATATTTTTAGAAGATTTTGCTGCATTGGATAATTTTAAAATATATAACATACCTTTACTTTTTTTCCTTCCTCTGAGAAGAAACCTGTAACAAGACAAATTAAAATATTCATATTGCATAGTTATTGAATTAGATTTTATCTACTAATATTATAAATGCGAATGATTAGATGGATGGATATTTGTTTGAAAATATCTCTAGAAAGTATGCATTTATCTTGCTGATATTTGGCATAGACGTAGAACACAGTCTGGAAAAACACATAAACTACTAATTAAGCATTAATAGAGCGCGGACGGAGTCACAGGCGACGGCTAGTTACATAATAATTATATTTTTTCCATAGAAAACGATAAAACTTGAAAAGGTGTAAGGAACGGAAAGCGTACTTTAGTAAAACAACTGTAGGAAGCATTAAGAGGTTTGCAAATACTCTTAAGAAAATACTTACAAGTACTACTAAGTGCTTTAACTACAGATTTCCTTTTAACCTGCTTAATAACAAATACTTTAGTATATTGAATACAACACAAAGTATATATGAACATATCTGACTGGACTAAAAAGAGAAACTTAAATAAAATCTTTTGATAAATGATTCATAATTTTATTCTGCTAAAATTACACACAGAAGATAGACGTGAAGTGGAAGCAATTCCGCGTTTCGTCTGATGAGTGTGCGTCCCGGAGGCCTACTTAAGTTTCCCTTCCCACCCTTTTTCTTATAAGAAATGGGAAGTGGAAGTAAACTTTCCGGATGAGAGTTTGTAAGGGAAGGGAAAATATTTTCTTTCTGTGCATCCTCTCCTCCGTCGATTAAAGGTAGGCAACGCATATGCAATTGCGTATGTCTATGGGCATCGGTCACTTCGCTATATCAGCGATTTCAGGTGGCCGCTCGCTCGTTTGCCTCCTTATGATATATTATAAAAATATATATAAAGAAGTTGTCACTGTAAAACTAAACTTTATGTTCTATAGGTATGTCAAATTCCATCGAAATAAGTTCAGCCGTTCTGAAGATACCTTCAAACAAATATCCATCCGTCCATCTAATCTAAACATTCGCATTTATAATATTAGTAAGATGCGAATGTTTGGATGTATGGATGTTTGTTAGAAGTAAATCCAAAAAGGCTGCATGGATTTCACTTAAATTTGGTTTGGATATAGTACATGGTGTGCAAGGACATATAGCTTACTATTTTTTTTTAAATCCCGCGCAAATGGAATCGCGGGCTACAACTAGTGTTCCAATAACCAAAACGTCCCTTTCAAAATACATAGGTACGCATAAATATTGTTCTTCCAAGCGGCCATACTGAGTTTGCATAAATTACGAAATGTTATGTCCCAAGCGATACGCCTGCGACCAAAATAATTTACATTTTCATTTAATTAGGAATGACAAATGATAGGTCCGCAGTGGTAACGCTTACTAAGGGAACGTTTTGTTGGAAAAGTTGTTTTAATTACGTATTCGATGTTAAACTAATGTTACATTTTTGTGGCTGGATATATAAATATTTGTTTTTGAATTAAGGTTTTATTACTATTGTCGGAGAATTAAAGGAGAATCATATATATAGACATGGATGTTCGATGGGTTTGAGTGCTATTAATCTTACTATATTACTAATATTATAAATCCAAATGTTTGGATGGATGGTTGTTAAAAGGTATCTCCAAATCAACGCAACGTAGGCCGGCAACGCATCTGCGGTTCCTCTGGTATTGCTGATGTCCATGGGCGTCATTGAACACCTCGGTGTTCCCGCTGCTCGTTTGTCCCCAGTTCTTATAAAAAAAATGCAGCTGCATGCATCTCACTGAAATTTGGGATATTTGTAGTACATAGCCTGGAAGAGCAAATGATCTACTAATTAAGTTTTTTTTTTAATTCCGCGCGGATCTCTGACAACTGCCAGTAATAAATTAAATTTAAAAAGGAATATAATTTTTTTTAAATTTATATTCGAACATCTATTTCACAACGACGTCATTAATGAAATATTTCACGTATGTTTTATCTTGAAATAGGCTCATCCAAACATCGACGTAATCCTACCAAATTACGTTGTCCTCATGAGCCTAAGCTGACGCATGACTTGATTATAAAGCTCATCGATCAGTCGCTTATCCTTCAGGCCTTTCCGGTTAATATGCCGCTTTTACGTACCCCTTGTATCCGTGTTATATGATAATAAAAATATCACTTATATTTTTAAGAATTTATACATAAAATAGAATTCTTTTACTATTCCGAGTAAGTTGGGAAAATGTATAAAAATTTTAACATGACATTTCAAAAGTCTTACATCTCAAAATCATTCGATGTAAGTCAAAAGTATTATAAATGTACATTTCAATGTCCATTTTATAAAGAAGACATTCGCTACAACGGGCCGTTATAAATTGAATAATGCTTCAAAGAATCCAATTTTGGTACTGTCAAAGAAACCGTTGTTCCTTTTTCCGCTGCATCTGTTGCCACAAAGACTTCAATGTTATGCGATTGTAAAGAAACTCAATATGTGTGATGTAATGATATTTTTTTATTATTAGCAGATTTTTTGGAAAATTTACTAATATTTCTTTTACCATTCCAACTAAGCTCTAGTCTTGTGCTAGGATATGGTTTGCGACAATAGTCGAATGACGGGATTCGAACCCCCGACCTCGTGATTGGAAATCCGTACCCGCTATTGAAGCGTAAATATTGTATAAATAATATTGTTATAATTTACTAGCTCTAGCCCGCGACTCCGTCCATGCGGAAAGAAAAAAAACTTAGTAGCCTATGTGTTCTTATGGTCTTCGTCTATGACAAATTTCATCGAGATCCGTTGAGTCGTTTTGGAGATATCTTCTATCTATATAAACATTCGCACTTATATTTTTTTTTGTATCATGAGGTGGCAAACGAGCGAGCGGTCACCTGAAATAGCGAAGTGACATTTGCCCATAGTCATACACAATGCCATATGCGTTGCCTACCTTTAATCGACGGAGGAGAGGATGCACAGAAAGAAAATATTTTTCCTTACCATACATCCTCTCATCCGGAAAGTCCACTTCATTTTGGATCACATGACGGTATCAGATAAAACAAGCTTTAAAAATCTTCCAAGATTTGACAAATAAATAGCCATAAAGTAAAGCAATATTTATTTACAAATCTTAAGCCGTTTCACCTAGTTCCCTGAAATGTCTACTTGAATAGTTCCACAAACTTCCCGCGCCTTCGTAAGAAAAATAACCTACAAATAAATAAAACATGAAATGTGACATTCATTTATCACTTAGCTACGGAATGAAGGTAAAAAAGTTTGCACAAATCCTTGTTCTCATGTATCACAATAAATACCAAATGCGATGTAATATACTAAAAATATCTCGAAAGTGTTCGTTTGTCACCGTTGAATTGTAAATATCGCCTGTTAATAATTATGTTAACGAATTATTGACACATCGTAATTAATTTTTAAATTAACTATCGTATTTTACTTCACAATTTTTACCAACTATAGGTATATAATTGTATCCTAACCTTAAATTCAATATAAAAACATTATAAAAAAATCATAAAGCATTTGTAACAAGTTTTAGTCAAGTTTTGATATAGTACTTAGTAACATAAATTAATAAACTTCACAATCTGACTGTGACATATGAATATTTTTAATAACTTTAGTTGTGTTATTAAAAACTGTGATCTTGAATATTAAAGATATGTTTTTAAAGAATAATAAAATAACTCATTTTTACTAATAGATAGTGGTTTGTTTTCATTCTTGAAAAAGCTTTTTGCATCGTGTGCCAAGGTCACTCAACGTCTGTCATGACACGAGAATTTATATGAAAATGAAAATCTTTTCATAGCGCATTCTTTGACAATAAAACAATAGCGTGAACATTTTAGCACGATCATTTAGAATCTCGTCAACGAAAGTCTCGCGTCACTTTGATGCGAACACAAAGCTAAAAACAATGCGAAACTCGAAACCCTTTAATGTACGGCTATTAAAAGTCGCGTCGTCGCCATGTCTTTATTTTATCTGCAAAAGTTTTGTATGAATGTGCTACGTGTTAAAGATTTTCTTAATGATCACGTACTTCAATTGTTTTCCGGCATAATTCCATATTTCAATTAGCTACATATTTCTCAGAATTTGAGATTCTATGTATTTTTAAACGCAAAAAGAACTATTCTCAAATATCTGCAATAATTAACCATTTTACTAATATTATAAATGCGAATGTTTGGATGGATGAATGTTTGTTTGAAGATATGTCAAGAACGGCTGAACGGATCTAGCTAAAATTTGGCATAGATGTAGAGCATAGTCTGGAAGTACACATAGTAAACTAATAACATTTCTGTAGTAGTCGGAGTCGCGGGCGACAGCTAGTTTAAACTTGTGTTAGTATCGCGACAATAATCCAATAACGGGAATCGAATCCACAACTCCAAGGTTGCTAGTCCTTACTCATAAGCCATTATACCTCATCCATCTATAGGCTTTTGGTTCTACTATAAGACATCCAAGAGATGCGACAAAATATGAATAATTATTTATTAAAACTGTGTCTGTAGAAAATACGAAAATCAAAGTTATGTTGTGTTAAAAATGTTAGACAGTAAATAACACGAACACAAACTTCGTTTACTTCATTAGTCGGCGACAGTGAGGTCTGTCACATCTGTTTACTCAGAGAAAAACCAAGTAGAGTTAGGATAAATGTCAGAGAAATTGCTTTCGCGACATAAGAGTGGGGAATTCTTAAGGAAAATCTTTCGTCAGCCCACTGAAATGTCAGGTCGAGTAGTCCGAATCAGTTCTTATGTTTGAATAAGAAAAACGACCTAGAAATAAATATTACATGAGATGGGACACTCATTTTTCACTTAGCCGTGAGTTGTGAGCAATATTATACAGGGGGAGAGAAGTTTCCGACTATGCCAAGTTTATTGAAAAAACTTTGATCTTCGTATGTCACCCAAATGAAAAGTTATGTATCGAATATTGTAAGAAAGAAATATTTATTTAGTTGTAACAAGTAAATATAAAATTATGTAATAC